GTGCTCGCTGTCTCCTTTACCTGGCTTTGTCCCGACTCCCTTGATTCAGTGGTAAAAATCATGGGACAAGGACACGTGGGGTGTAATGATTCAGTCCTGATGCCTCTCAATCTGTAATTTCTTTAAAATTGTTGATTCATTTGTTCAACAAATAGCTGGGGACTCAGCGTGTCCCAGGCACAGTGCTTGAAGCTAAGCTTGAAACCTTGCAGACATGATCCCTGTTCAGCATTAGCGGGGAGGCAATCACTAAAGGAGTAACGTCACGAAGATATCAGTATAAATCGGGATAATAGGGGCTGAGGGTGCAGGTCTGTGGTAGAGCACTTGCTTAACGCCTGCGAAAGAAAAAAAGATGGGACGGTACTATAGCACAGTTAAGAATATGGACTCTAAAGCCAAATTGCCTGCCTTTGCAATAATCCCAGTTTTAGCCCTCTGTGCCTTGTTTCCTCATCTGTAAAATGGGATTTATGATAGTGTGTCTCTCCAGAAAGTTACTGTGAAGATTAGATGAAGCCATACAATATAAGACACTTCACAATGATACAACAGGCTCAAGATATTTTAAATTCATTTGATCGTTAGCTATTATAATGATGAGGGAGAAAAGGCAACAGTGATGTCAAACAGTAACAGACAAGCCTCCCTGTGGAAATGACTTAAGACCAGAGGCAAGTGAACAGAAGAGAACCCAGAAAGAAACATCCGAAGGCCATATTATTATGAAACAATGTTCATTGTTATTTTATTATTTTGGAGACAAGGTCTTGCTACATAGCCCAGGCTGGACTCAAACTAGTGATCCTCCTTCCTCACCTGTAATTCTAGTACTCAGGAGGCTGAGGCAGGAGGATCCAGAATTCAAGGCCAGCCTGGGCATCATGGCAAGACCCAGTCTCAAAACAAAAAGAAACAAACACATACAACTGTGTATGTGTATTTAGATGTAGGTCCTGCTCACTCCTACCCCATTATAGTCTGTGCTAGGAGGTGAATGTTTATGTCCTCTTAAAATTCACAGGTTGAAATTCTAACTCCCTAGGTAATAATATACAGAGGTGGGACCTTGGGATATTACTAGGTCTTGAGGGCAAAGCCCTCAGGAATGGGATCAGTGCCCATATGAAAGAGGCTCAATGAAGTTATACTTACCTTTAATCCCAAGATTGCAAGTTTAAGGCTACCCCGTGCCCTATCTCAAAAATAAATAAATATTTAAAAGGCTGATGGTGTAGCTCAATGGTATACCATTTAAGAGGCCCTGAATTCATTCCCTAGCACAGCACACACACAAACCATCACACAAACCCAAGAGAACTTCTTCGCCCCTTGCCATGCCATGTGAGGTCACAGTGAAAAGTCAGTTGTCTACAACCCAGAAGAAAACCCTTACCAGAACCTGACCATGTTGACAGCCTAATCTAGGACTTCCAGGTTTCAGAACTGCAAAAAAAAAAAATCATTTTGGTTTGTTTATAAGACACACAGTTTACAGTAATTTGTTGTGGCAGCTCAAAGGTACTGAGGAAGTCTGGCTGCCATCCCCACCACCACCCTGTAACTTTCCTCTCCAAGGTCACCGACAGTGTCCTTAAGGTTAAATCATTTCACACCTTTCACACTTTTCAGTCTTCTTTTCCTGCCTCATCTGTAATTTTTGAGCCTGTGAGTCATCTGGTTATCACCAATCCCTCCCACTCTTTTGCTTGTCCTCCTGTGATTCCAGTTTCTCCTCTTCGGGCTCATTTGAGGCTTTATTTTCTGTCCATCGTTGGAATGTTGAGTGTTCCTCGGGGCTCTGTCTGGCTGTCTTCTCTCAGCACTCATGCTCTCTTGCACCTATCTCTTCTGTTCCCATGACTTCAGCCAGCACCTTTTGCTGATGACTGCCAAGTCCCAATCACCAGCCCATGTCTCCTTGGTTAATTCAATACCCATGCACACCATTTGCTGGATTTTTCCACTTAAATGAAAATGAGAAAAGAAAATAGGTCCGGGTGGGGCTGTAGCTCAATGGTAGAGTAGTTGCTTAACATGTGTGAAGGCCCTGAGCGTAATCCCCAGCACCAAATAAATAAACAAAAATAAAACTAAAGGTCCTCAGACAGCTCAATTCAACATATTCAAAAGCGAAGTCATGCCTGGTTCTCAAACCTCTTCATCATTTGCCTCAAATATCAGTAAATGGTACCACTGTCAAATCAGCTTAGAAATCCAAGTATTATCCTTGTATCCTGACAGCCCCTGCCCTCCCATTCCATCAGAAGCTCTTCCCTGACTTCAGTTTATAACATACCTGTGACCCATTGAGTGTTTACTATGTCAGTGCTCACACACAGCTGTTCACTCAGTCCACAGAACAATCCTGCAAAGTAGGAGTTATTACTATCCCTATTTCATAGATGTGGGATTTGAGGCACAGGAAGGTTGAGTAGTTCTTCCAAGATTATGAGTGACAAAGCTGGCATACAAGCCCTGGCAGCCTGGCTTCTATCTCCTTGCTTATAACAACAATGCATATTGCATTCTCATTTGCCTTGTTGTTTTGTTGTCTCCCCCACCCCACCCCCGTGATTAAGCACTTGTCCTGAATCAGTGAACATTTTTTTTTTGGTGGGCAGTACTGGGGTTTGAACTCAGGGGCCTCACACTTGCTAGGCACGCTCTACCACTTGAGCCACTTCACCAACCCCTGTGTGTTCTTTGAAGTTTGAATTGTTCATAGTAGCATTCTTGGGACTAGGACAGTGCCTGACAAAAAGTGGAAGCCAATCCACCCAGTGAGAAAGGTAATTACCTAGAGACAAAACAAAGTATAGCTAAATAGAAGTAATGGAGTAGACATCAGGTTACATTAAGTTATAGCTGGGATTGCAGGTTTGGGTTTGGGTTTTTTGTTTGTTTATTTGCTTGCTAGCTTGCTTGTTTTTGTGTTAGGGATTGAATCCAGGCTCTTGAATAGTAAATACAACTCTACCATGAATATACTGATGGACTGGCGATGTGGCTGATGGTAGAACACTTGCCTAGCATGCATGAGGCCCTGGGTTCAAGCTTTAGCACCATATAAGTTTTTTATAATTAAAGAAAAAAAATGGACCTTGTATGCACATATGAATAATAAAACAATAAAAAAAAAGAAAAAAAATGGAACTGGTGGGATGGCTCAAGTGGTAGAGCACCTGCCTAGCAAGTGTGAGACCCTGAGTTCAAACCCCAGTACCACCACCACCAAAAAAAAATGTTCACTGATTGAGGACACATGCTATAATCCTTTTAAAGGAGAAAACTTTAATAAACTCTTATGGAAGAACTCATAGACTTTGAGTTGCAGTTACCACCAATTTTTTTATTTTTATTTATTTATTTATTTATTTTATTATTCATATGTGCATACAAGGCTTGGGTCATTTCTCCTCCCTGCCCCCACCCCCTCCCTTACCACCCACTCCGCCCCCTCCCTCTCCCCCCTACCCCCTCAATACCCAGCAGAAACTATTTTGCCCTTATTTCTAATTTTGTTGTAGAGAGAGTATAAGCCATAATAGGAAGGAACAAGGGTTTTTGCTGGTTGAGATAAGGATAGCTATACAGGGAGTTGACTCACATTAATTTCCTGTGCGTGTGTGTTACCTTCTAGGTTAATTCTTTTTGATCTCACCTTTTCTCTAGTTCCTGGTCCCCTTTTCCTATTGGCCTCAGTTGCCCACCAATTTTTTTAAACTGCATTTTTTTTTAAAGAGACTACTACAAATTGTGTTAAAGGACTCAATTTCAATGCCACACATGTCAGCTTCAGATGGAGTATCATGCTGAATCTGAGAATTAAAACTTAAACTGGGGAAACAAATGAAAATGTAAGCTGAAGCAGAGTTCCAATTTGCCATGGAAGTCAATTTAAGTGTTTAGTCAGTTTATATTCAGCACAACCTGATGTGCAGTGTGTACTGTGTGAATTACTATACTAATAAACAGTCATTGTTTTTTCTTAAATAGTAGGGAGAAAGATGCTTGCTTTGCAGCCCTGAGAGATGCAAGTGAAGACGCTATGCCTAAATTTGTCCCTTCCTGTTTCATCTCTGTTTTGTTCAGGCCTTCCTCTCCACTCCCCAGGGCAATTTCCTTAATCCTCTCACTCACATCTGCAAAGTTCCATCCTGGGATCTCTCCCAGGCACCTGAACTTAGCAAAACAATATTTTCTTTTCCTCCCTCCCACTGGGTGGTAACACAGTGCCAACCAAGGTTCTAAGCCTCAGTAGATAGATCGGGCAAAAAACTGCTGTTTATAAACACACCAGGGCTCTACCCCGAGTGCGGGGGTCAGGACCAGGCTGACTCCAAAGCTTCTGGTGTTCTTCCTTCTTTTTTGCTTGCAAGGCTTTTATGAAGGGTAATTAATTATGATTTATAAGCTGTGCAAATTACAGCTTATAAACTATAAATACAATATTAGTAGTTTTTCTGAAAGTCAAGTAAGAAGAAATCCCAGTGTGTGTTGTTTTCCCTGCTTCACCCGAAATCCCTATTTAAAGTGAGAACTAAAACAATAACAATTGGAATAAATATTCTAACTAAATGGTCCCAAGCACTGTCAAAAATAAGAAAGAACAGTGTAATTTATCTCTGCAATAATGGGCATATTATAGTAGGATCGTTTTCAGCTCATTTCCCCATCCTGCTGGGCAAGAATTGGCTCAGATAAGGAAAAAGAGCCAACCAAACTGAGGGGAGGAGGGAACCTACCAATTATGTTTGATGCCTGGTAAACAGCCTGTGCCAGAGGATAAGGCTTTTCTGGCTCTCAGATATGCCTTTTTCTTTTTTCATGTGTCTGTCCTTCTCCCTAGAAGCTGCGGGGTGGGGAGGTCTAAAAATAGCCAATGAATCACAGCAGATAATAAATACTGTGCAGTAGTTACATAAACAGCCAGCCGGGGCGGCGGGGCCGTAGGTCGGAACGGAAAATATCTGGGTCAGGGTTGTCACACTGAATAGAGTCCCCCGGAGCCGGCCTTCCAAGGCGCGGCGGGGGAGGAGGCCTGGGCCTGTGGGCCGGAAGCAGCTGAGAAGCCGCGGGCAGCGGGCGGGAGGGAGCACAGGCCCCGGGCCAGGCGCGGGTGGCGGCGCGAGAAGGGCAGGCAAGCCCTGCGCTCTCTCCCGATGGCCGGGAGCGGGCCGTGGAGGCGGCGGCGGCGCTGACAGGCCCGGCCCGGGGCGGGGCGGGGCAGCTGGGGTCCTAGGGCCCAAGGGGAAGATGAGCGCGCTCTTAGAGCAGAAGGAGCAGCAGGAGAGGCTGCGGGAGGCCGCGGCCTTGGGGGACATTCGGGAGGTGCAGAAACTGGTGGAGAGCGGGGTAGATGTGAACTCCCAAAATGAGGTCAACGGTTGGTAAGTGCGGAGCTGGGGAGGCCCAGGGTCAGGGGTGCCGGACGGGGGCGTGGGGCCATCAGCGCTGTACCTGGACGCCGGGCTAAGGTGAGGCTCGGTGCCTCAGGCCTTCCATGTTGTGCCCTCCTGAGGCCAGCCCTGCCCCCGCTCGCCTCGTGCAGGCTGGAGCACGTCCTGCCCACGTCCCCGGCGACGTGATCCTGCAGCGCCCACGCGGGACCCTGGCTCCCCGCCGCGGTCCCCCGCGCTCCCTGGCTAACTTAGCCAGAACGGTGCTGGAGGCTACGAACTCTTCATCCAGAGCTAAAAGCATAAGCATCCGAGTGGATGGGAGCCTTATAAACAAGCACGAGTTCTTTAGCCAAAACCAAACCCCACCGCTTCATCACTATTCTGCCCCAGTGTTGTCTCCCTGCAACAGTGGTTTTGCCTAAGGCTGGTAGGAAGATTCGTTTGTCTTGAAGACGCTATCCTATAGAGTGCTTTTGCTTTGTTTTCTTAGTACAATCTCCAATAGAGAATTTCATCTCAGGCTTTACATGTTTGTCTGCAGATTGGGCCCTTCCCAATCAAATTTTAAGATGTTGCTGGTGGTCAAATCTTTAGTTTCAAGTTACTGAATGTGTTATTCTGCTCTCTTTGCATTTACACCTAACATTGTATTGATTCAGGCAATGTTTAGCCAGCTTATATTGCTGGCTTAGAGTTAGAGTGAGGTTTTTTAAATTTTTTTTGTTTTTTTTATGGAACCCTACATTTTGGAAGTGAAAGGGGCAATGGAAATTGCTTCAACCCAAAGAGTAAAGTTGCCCTGGGTCCTGTAATTGTTAATGGGATAGGTTTCCTCACTTTCTAACAAGTCTTATTTATCTTCTTTCCCTAAGGAAAACAGCCTGGGTAACTGTCCACAAAGCCAGGAAACAGTGGATAGTCTCTTTTTGTTTTGTTTAAAAGTATTTGCAAACAAATTTGCTATTGTGTGTCTACCTTTTCTGAGAGTTGCTCTGTGGTTCAAAGCTGTGAATTATTGTGTGGGCACTGGGAGGCAGTGTTGTGCAGAGCCGTGAGCTTGGTCTTGTCTTCTCCATGCCTGTACAGCCTTGCCTGAATCATTTCATTTTCAATTATTTCATAAGAATGCTATGAGCACTTAATGAAATGAAAGCTAAATAGCTACCATTGAACTTGCTCTGTAGCAAAGATGTAGTTCTGAGCACTTCACATGTATTGTATCATTCACAGCCACTTGGGGATGTAGCTATTGTTATTTTCTCCCTTTTACAAAGAAACTAAGGCACAGAAAGATTAAGTAAATTCTCCAGTTTTAAAATGTCCCTAAACTAGTCATTCTCCATTACTGTTAGAATTTAAATAACCGGTAGAGCTGGGAAATAAATAATAATGGGAGTCAGTAATATCTAACTCCAGCTCTTACCCTCCTCTGCACGGCTGCCTGCCATGTGGGAGGTGTTCAGTCAATGAGAGTCTGAAGTAACCTGAAGAAGCTTCTCATAGTCTTAATTCCAGCTCGACATGGCCATAACTGAATTTCTCCTTACCCTCCTTCTGCCCCCAGGCTGCTGAGTCTTCCTCATTTCAGCCTCTTAGATACCCACCTTCTTCCCCTCCTGCCTTTCTCTTGCTCCCCACATCCAGTCATGCAGCCAATTCTGTCAGCAACCCCTTCAGATATAGTCAGAATCTGACCACTTCCCACAAGCTCTTCCTACTGCTTTTGGGTACAAAGGCATATCACTTTTCTCCCTGGATTATTGAATAACCTAACGAGTTGTCTTAATACCTACAGTCTTTTCTCATTTTGGTCGCCAGAGGGATCCTGACTGGCCAAATCGTTTCACTCTGCTCAAATCAAAGGTGGCTCCCATTTTACTCTGAGGAGAAGCCAAGAGGGTCCCACAGTTTTTGCTCCCTGTCCCACTCCCTGCTGCCGGGCGTCATCTTTTGAGATTTGCCTCCTTGCTTACTTTTTTTTCTATTCTCCTGACTGCCTTGCTTTTCCTGGAATACAGGTCCAGTCGTGATTCAAGACCTTTACATTTCTCTTAGATACCCCATAGTTTGCTGTTTGTCCTCCTTCAGATCTTAGCTTAGATATCACCTTTGTGGTAAGGCCTTTCCTTGGCCCTCAATTTAAAATTGCACAGTGCCCTTCCCCAACCTCTGTCATTCCCTAACCCCACTTTATTGTTCCTATAACACTTAATCACCACCTAATATACTGCATGCTTTGCTTATTTATTTGCTGACTACCTCAGTTTCCTCATCTGTAAAATGGAGGGGAGTATTGAATACTAGTACTTGCCTCATGGGATTTTTTTTTTTTTTTTTTTTTGACTGTCTCATGTTGCTCAGGCTGGGCTCTAACTCCTGGGCTCAAGTTAGCCTCCAGTGTAGTGGACTACAGGCAAAAACCACTGCATCTGGTTCCTTATGGGATATTTTGAAGATTAAATGAGTTAATATATGTACAGCTTTTCAAATAATTTCCAGTCTGGAAAGCATTATATCTATGTTAACTATTATTATTTTCTTTTTATTTAGCAACATTCTGGATAATGACATATAAAGTTACCCTCCAAAAAGCATACTCATTTTAGCATATAAAAGTAGAATGGTTACTGCTTTCAGTTCTTAGTTGCTCAGTAACCACAATTTCAGCAGTGATGAATGATGCCCAGTTGATGAGTGATGCCCAGAGCCTCTGGGCTGAAGTACTTCCTAACACTAATAAGATATTCTGACTGCAAATATTAAGTTTAAAGAGTTGAAATTCAAAGATAGAGCTGCTACATCAATTATAATTCAAATGTCATGCATCCCCCTTGACTTTAAGGAACAAGTATAATGGCTTATGAAGAGGTTGAAACTATTGCCTGGCCTCAATGGCTATGAGTTATGGCTGCCCAGAGCCACAGAGCTTGGGATTGTAAATTATCACTGAGGGTACAGGGCTGTGGGGGATATGCTGTATTGACTTAACCCTACTTTTTACATGGTGATGCTCTAGCTAGTTGGCTTGTCCCAGAGTCTCTCAGACTTACTCATAGTAATTATCTCCTTCACTCTGCAGCTTGCCATGGAGTGATTTACTACTAGCAAGCAAGCCCTTTATTTCCAAAAGCGAGCATATTTTTCTCATCATGCTCCATTCATTTTTGAGTGCTCACTTAGTATAATTATTCACTTTTCAAACATATACAGCAGACATCCACACACAGACACTCCAGGTTGCATTTTGCCCAGAATCAAGGAAATTTTGGATCCTCCTACTCTAAGCATTATCCACCTTATCCTACATTCACTTCTTAAGTGATAAGAATTAAGCACTTGGGCTAGGAGTATTTCTCAGTGGTAGAGTGCTTGTCTACCATTCGTGAAAACTGCACCCCCCCACACCAAAAAAAAAGAATTAAGCACTTTGTCAAGCTGATACTTTTTTATCTTCATGGAACCTACTTATAGTTTAGAAGTTTAGATCAAGACTTTCCCACTGGGGATATAATTCAGTGGTAGAGTTCTTGGTATGCATGAGACCCTGGGTTCAATCCCTAGCACTGCAAAAATTAATTAACTAATTGAAATAAATTAGATTTTAATTGAAATAAATTAGAAATTAAAAGAAGACTGGTCCCTTATTTTTCCCACCTGGGCAGTCAATTCATTACAGAGTATGATGATATAGGCACTTAGATAATGAATAATTGTGTGAAATGTCACTCTAAAACATCAGTGGAGTTGCCCCCAGCCAGAAAATGAGCTCTTTCCTGGAACCAAATAAACTTTCCAGATAATTGTACTGCCCAGATTAGTGACCTAATTCTCACTATCGAACATATATTCATATTCATTTTATCTGTATTTGACTATAAGCTTTAAAGACATTTATCTCAGTTCAGTTAGAGAGCTGGACATTTCAAAATGGGGTATTTTCCTTCCATCATATACATTCAGCTTTGGCACCTGGGGATGAATTTAGTTGCTCCAAATCTTTCACTTCTGTTAAAATGGCATTTTTGCCAGTATGTTAATTATATTCCTATACAATATTAAAATAATAGCTCTTCAGAGTGTGCAGAATCATCTCCTATGTGTATTATTAAATAATTGGCTTTACTTAAATGTGTTTGATATAATAGTCTGTTCTTGAACATTTTTGGTTGTTGTTGTAAATGTTTTAACTGCCTTAGAAATTAAAGTATTTGTATGGTGCCTTTCATTTAAGTAAATGTAGCCTTCCAGAGAGAATTAGAGAAGCCAAGTTTTTTAAAAATGGAAATTTGGAAATCCTTTTGTGTGTGTTTGTGTGTGTGTGTAGGTGAAGAAAAAAAAAGAAAGTGAGCAACTGAGATTCACACAGGAATGTTGCTATAGTAATAATAATTGAAATGACAGAGAAGCTGCAGATGGGAGGTAGTTATTAGCCTGATGATATTTAATTTTCAAGTGGCATTTGATATATATGAAGTGAATTTCCATAGTCCCTAAAAAGGAATAAAGCAGTATAGAAACATGTTTTAAAGAGACTGAGAGAATCTAATGAATGTTACTGACAGAGGAACTTCTTGAAGTATCATTGGAATTAGCCAGCTTGCCTTCTAGGTTAAGTCATTGAAATTAAAGTCCTTTGAACTGGGGAAGTGGCTCAAGTGGTAGACGCCTGCCTAGCAAGTGCAAGGAACTGAGTTCAAACTCCAGTACTGCCAAAGGAGAGAGGGAAAGGGAGGTGGGGGGGAGAGAGAGAGAGCGAGCGTGGGAGAGAAATCGAGCCAGGAAAACCCGACCCCAGGGGGGTTAAGGCTCCTAGGAGGAATTAATTTTTTCCAGGGGCCAGAAATTAATTTTTTTTGGTCATGCTAGAGATTGAACCCATGGCTTTGTACATGCTAGGCAAGCACCCTACCACTGAATTATCCCCAGTCCTAGAAATGAAACTTAAAAATAATTTTAAGCATAGTAAATACTTTGATTATCTGCCTTATGAAATGAAAAGTTGAAATTACCAGGCTGCATTTTTTTTTTAACGTTTAGAATTTGAAATTTCAGATCACTTCTTCTCTTTTTAAAGCATTTCTTTTTCTTTGTGACAGGACCTGTTTACACTGGGCATGTAAACGCAACCATGGTCAGGTGGTCTCTTACCTGTTAAAATCAGGAGCTGACAAAGAGATTCTTACCACAAAAGGAGAAATGCCAGTGCAATTAACATCAAGGAGAGAAATCAGGAAGATTATGGGAGGTGAGTCTGTGTTTGGGGGAACATTGGATTTTGTCAAATAGTTTAACACTTGAGGTATTAATGGCTATGTTCTTGATGCTGGCCATATGACTGGTCTGTTTCTCAAAACTCATTATTATGCCAAGATAGTAATTCTATCTTGATTTCTGATCATGCATTATATGGTCAGTATTATAAGGTTTTGTTTTTATTTGTAAAATTGAAGACACTGATAAAAATAGTAATCATAAACCTAATAAAATATGCTTTTCTATTCTGACCTGAAGAAGCAATAATTATTTGTCACATGCCAAAGGACACCAGCTTCCAGAATATATTTCTTTCTTGGTTATTTTTAAAAGGCTGTGTAAATACTCTATTTTCTTTTTTTTAAGTGGAAGAAGATGATGATGATGATGACAACCTCCCCCAAATGAAGAAGGAGTCAGAATTGTCCTTTGTTCCCAACTATTTGGCCAACCCAGCCTTCCCTTTTCTGTATAACCCTGAAGCAGAGGATTCAGCCCAGCTGCAGAATGGGGGACCCGCCACACCTCCAGCGTCACTCCCTACAGATGGATCACCTCCATTGCTACCCCCTGGAGAGCACCCTCTGCTTGGGTCCTTTTCCCGGGACCACACTTCTTTGGCACTGGTTCAGAATGGTGATGTGTCTGCCCCCTCTGCCATACTCAGAACACCAGAAAGCACAAAACCAGGTCCTGTTTGTCAACCACCAGTGAGTCAGAGCCGGTCCCTGTTCTCTTCTGTCCAGTCCAAGCCACCAGTATCTCTGGAGCCTCAAAACGGCACATATGCAGGACCAGCGCCAGCATTCCAGCCATTTTTCTTTACCGGAGCATTTCCATTTAATATGCAAGGTAACTCCTTATTAACAACAGGGGAGAGAGTTTATTTATTTATGTATTTGGGGTATAGTTACAAACTTAAGAGAAAAGTTGCAAGACTTATATAAGGATCTCCCTTTACTCAGATTTGCAAATTGATCACCTTTGCCCTTTTACCATGAAATACTTTAGTAATGTTCCTATTGTATATTTCCTAGTAATAAGGATATTCTCATATATAATACAGTATAAGTATCAAATTTAGGAAATGTAACCTTGATGTAATACTGATCTATAATAGGTATTATATTTAAATCCATATTTAAATTTTATTTGTTGTCTCAACAGTGCCCTTTGTAGCTGTCACCCCCCATCCCCGCCCCCAGGATCTTCCATTGCATTTGGTTAGTCACCTTTGATCTGGAATATTCTCCATCCTTACTCTATCATTTTTTACCTCAATTTTTGTAAAGGTTCCAGGTCAGTTATTTTGTAGATTACGATTTTCTATCGGTCTTTCTCTGTTTGTTGGTATTCACTGTAAAGAATGGTTTCTCCCCAAATTTATTATCAGTATGAATTCATGAATTCTTATTGTATTCAGTAGGTTATAACTTGTTACTATCATTATTTTGATATTTAAATTATTCCTGATTTGGCCAGTGGGAGCCTTTCATTCTTGGAATATTTTCTTACTTTCTAGTGCAGCAAGATGTTGTAGGCTCATAGTGTTACTTTCCCTGCCCCAACTCAGGAATCAGCCATTTTCCTCTCCCTCCCTCCCTGCCTTCCTTCTTCTCTCCCCTCCCATCCTTCTCACCCTTTCCTCCCACCCACCTCCCTTCCTTCCCTCCCTCTTTTCCTTCCCTTTCCTCCCTTCCTTCCCTCCTTTCTTTCTTCCTTTCTTGTTAGTACTGGGGTTTGAACTGAGGGCTTTGTGCTTGTTAAGCAAGCACTCTGCCATTTGAGCCAAGCCTGCAGCCCTTTTTTGCTTTTAGTTATTTTTCCAATAGGGTCTCACAGTTTTTGCCTAGGCTGGCCTCACACTGTGACCCTCCTATCTATGTTTTCCACATAGCTGTGATTATAGGCATGCTTCACCATGCCCAGCTTGTTCTTTGAAATAGGGTCTGCACTTTTTTGCCTGGGCTGGCCTCAAACTGTTATTCTCCACCTTCCAAGTAGCTGGGATTGCAGGCATGAGTCACCATGTCTGGCAAGAATTGGCCACTTCTCCAAGGAGTCTTGGATCTTTTTGGTAGAGAATGGTAATTAGAAACCAGGGGCGCGTGGGGGGCGAGGGGAAGAAAGTAACCAAATGTGGACACTAGATGTCCTCGTTGTTACAGGCATATCATTTCTTATAGGCTTACTCAGGAAAAATCTAGGAGAGGGCGGGGAGAAGGGAAGGAGGAAACATTCATCCATATATTCATATTATATGTGTATCTACATTTCTATATGTATTTGTATCTTTTTAAGAACATTAGAAACCATAAATTCATCCTGATAGCCCTAGTTTCTGTCAACACACAAGGTGTACCCTTAACTTTCCTTTTTCCCTGTAAGTAACTTCCTCACTTACTATTTTTGAGAATCTAGTACTGTGTGTGCTGAAAACAGTGGCCCATTGGTTCTGTGAGGGTCCGTATTCAAGGACTGAGGCAGCACTGCCAAATGTGTAAATGCTTTGCACAGCTGCCACCATGTGTCTCTTCTAAAAAAAAATAGTAATTTTATTTAAAATAAATGCTTAGCTTAAACCCATCTTGACAGTCAAGGCCAAAATATAGAGGCAGACTGCTTTGATCCCTGACCCATTATAATAGCGTTTATTTACTCTCAAAACCAAGACCCATCCCTTATCAAAGTGTACTGTTTTCAAATCACAGTTAGACTTTAACTTTATTTCGTGGTTGCCTCTTTGCTCCTTTACTGTCTTCATTGTAAGGAATTTCATTAAGTCTTTTCAGAGTACCTCATGTACCATAACTTGCCTAGCCTTCTTTCCAGCCCTCTTCTTCTTTCCCTGCTCCTGTAGAGTTGATACTTAAACCTATTCTAATGTCTTTACTTCCTTGGCTTCTATAGCAGAAGTAAGTAATTCTTCTTCACAGCTGAGATGGTTACCCTTCCTCCCTTTTATTTGGTAAACTGTGGTCTTAGATGCAGGGAAGATGTTTCAGGAGTCTGCCCCAGCAGAGCTTGAGCAGAGTGTGAGTAAGTCCGGATGTGGTTTTCACATTGGGTGGCACTGACCTTTGGCACTGGGCATGATTAAGTGTGACCATCATCTGGAACAGATCTTAAGCTACACAGGCTGTGCTATGCCACAAAATTCATGACTGTTTCTCCCTCTTTTTTTTTTTTCTAGAGTTAGTACTCAAGGTGAGGATTCAGAACTCATCTCTTCGAGAAAATGATTTCATTGAAATTGAACTGGACCGACAGGAGCTTACCTACCAAGAACTGCTCAGAGTGAGTTGCTGTGAGCTGGGCGTTAATCCAGATCAGGTGGAGAAGATCAGAAAATTACCCAATACTCTGTTAAGAAAGGTAAGTAAAGTCAGCTAAGCATGAGTGGTTGCTTTCTGCATTTGGAAAATACCTAACTTCCTCCTTGGTTATATGAGTCATAGTTGAATGAAAAGCAAATAGAAAAGGCACAAAGGTTGGTTTTTCAATTGTAACCAGTAAGTTTTCTCTCCCTCTACTTAGTCTATAGAGATGCTGGCATCTTTGAAAGTTGTAAGATACCAGAGAGAATATTCAGAATTACCATTCACGTGTACCTGTTTTCAGCTGTTTCTGTAGTGACCTGTCAGGATTGCCTCATTGCAATTAAATGTGCTTTGTGTTTTACAAGCTAAGACCTAAGTTAAATTATAGGGAAAATCCACACAGATACCTGAGTTCCTCCCACCAGCTCTGGGTTCTTGAACCTCAGGCCCTGGCTTCTCTGGGCACTGAGGAAAACTGATGCCCACACTGCCTGCCCCTTCAAGGTGTTCATCCTATGGCAGTGGCTGTTAGGGTTTCTGCCATCCTAACCCAGATCATGCCCTGGGACTCAATAACTGCTTCCCTGCCTCAGGGATTTAATTTTCTTTTAGATTCTAAAGTGAGCCAAGATACTGGCATCAACATAGCCCACCAAACATGGAGGCAAGTGGCTCCTCTTAACCTATTGACCTATTTTGTTTTAGGACAAAGATGTTGCTCGACTCCAAGATTTCCAGGAGCTGGAACTGGTTCTAATGATAAGTGAAAATAATTTTCTATTCAGAAATGCTGCATCTACACTGACTGAAAGACCTTGCTACAACAGGAGAGCTTCAAAACTGACATACTAATGCAGTATTACGACAATGTGTGTCACCTCTGGGCCAAGGACAAGCCATTGATCCAAAAGCCTTGAATGCCCATAAGGACCTCCGGTGCCACTGCAAAGTGTACACTAATATCTTCCTGCCAAGGCAGGAAGCCCCTGGCCCCCAGCAGCGGTGCCACTCTTCCAAGCCTCTTGGTGCACAATAAACCTATCGCTGAAGCTTTGAACAGCTGAGAAGTGGTCTAGAGAGGCAGAAGCCAGAGGTTCTATATCTAGTGTTTTATGTGCAGAATGTAAGAGAGCTGTTGAAGCAGAAACCAATAGAGAGCAGAGCCCGTTTGTAGCCACTCCTGTTGACAGTGCACCTAATGGGCTGGTGCAGTTTTTCTTGGTGTTACATGCTCTTGACTCTCCTGAAATTGTAAACTGACTAGAGAGGAAAACGGGGAAAGCACAGGCACTGGACAAAGGGATTTTAGTGTGACTTATGGCTGTGAGGTTTCATAGAACATATTTATAAATGGTACTCAGGTTAAAAGTATTTAAGAATACAGTTACTTAATTGTAAATAGGCTGTTAACCAAAAGAGCTTCCCCTCCCCCACTTTCCTTTGTGAGCACATACTGCATTTCCTCCCCTTCACAGTCACTAGAGGGCTCTCTGACGCTTTCTAAAGAGCTACTGCATTTTTACTCTGAGGTGACTCCTATCATTTATGCACCATTGGAGAAGAGCACAAACATTGCTGGTCCATGTTCTCCACTGTCATTTTCCACTAGAAATGAAGCAATTTTTGAGCCTGAACCTCTTGCTATTTTAAAGGTTATTGTGGAAAAATGAACTAAAGGAGTTAGCATCTTTATTTTTGTATCAAAGATAAAGGTTATTTTGAAATTATTAGGATTTTTATGCAACTCTGAAATCTATAAACAAATTGTTTGATCTTAGGGATCCCCCTGCTACCACTACCAATCCACTCAACAGTCAGTTGCGAGTCTACCAGACTTAAACAAAAATAGAACACCTGATTAAACTCTTGAGCATGGAATAAGGATATTGTTCAAGAATGCATTCAAGGATTCTTTTCCTTTTCCTCAGTGTCATTAATGTTAAAAGAAAAGTCGTTGTCTTGTTGAAATGAACAGCTTAACTTTAGAAATAGGAGCTAGCCCATGCAGACCAACAGGAGAGCGGGGTTTGAAGCCAGCTGTTGAAGAGCATCCCTGCTGTCTTAAGAAGCTTTCTCCCATAGTGCCTAGAGTTTCCAAAGAAACTTAACTTCCTGACTGTGTTAATCTTATTCGAACACTAAAATTGAGTGAGAACCTGCAGAAGATGTCAGTGGAAGAGAAGTTGTGCTAAGATAATGGCCTCCTGCTGCTGCCTGAATGCTGAAATGAGGTTGAGATGTTCTTCAAGATCAACTTCATGGAGTCACTCTGCTTAGTGACTTAATTATATCCCCCCAACTACAGCTGGTGACTTACTCATGCCTGTAGAGTTTGCATAGCAGAGTAAAGGTTGCTTATCACCCCCTTTCTCTCAAGTGCTTTAAAGAAGAAACCTCCTTTGTGTTTCAACCTATCAGAAACTACTTTATCTAGATGTAATAACCTTTTTTCTTTACTTTGAAAAAAGCTTAATTCACTGATACAATTAAGTGTGGTTCTATCCTTAAAGGAATAAATTCAGTATTAATTCATGCCTAAATTACTGGGGTTAAAACTTTCAGCCACTCAGATTAACTAGAGGCTTTCAGTAGTAGAGGCCCCTGGCTGGGAAGTGACCCACAGAGGGGTGCTCCAGGGCATTTCACAGGCTCAGAAGCAGAGGGACCAAAGGTGTTGGTGTCCCAAGTGGGAGGTGGATTTCATATGGCTCTGCCATGTTCTGGTCCCTCTTTTCCTTCATAAAATCCTCTGTGGTCATTGCCTCTGGCAGTGGGATAAGACTGCACAGTTGCTGGTAGATGAGTTTAATGTCTTAATCTATGCATTCAGAGAAATATTTTTATATGCTTTGTGTAATTTATAACAAGGTTTTTTTTAGCGTTAACTGAATTCACCCCTCCTCTGCATATTTAAAGCATGTGTTCACACTGTATGTAAACATTCATAGAAGATTCTTTGTGCATCACTGACTCTTCAAACATAGCAGGTATTATTAAAATCAAATATTAACTGACCAAGCCCATTTTCTTTCATTTTGGCCTCCTCAACAGCACTGTACTTCTGATCATAAGTTCAACTTGTCAGGCATTTTCAGGAAGCTGGCACTCTAGAAGAAGAGGAGAAAGCCCTGTTCCCCACCTGAGCCTCTTCCATCCCCATGCTTCTGCAGCACTCATGCCCTGTCAGTGACACCTGGAGACACATTTTGTGTGGCATCTTCCCTCCCAGTTTATAGCAGTTGCTTCATTTCCCTGGAGTCGCTGAGCTAGCTAGATGGAGGTCATCCCCTATTAACCACATTTTTTGATTATCCTATTTACTTGACACAACTGAGCCTCTCCTTGGGGCTGTCAGCGCCTGTCAGGGCTTCAATGAGCTCAGAAGCAAACTCCCAAGACAGGAGAGGAAATACAGCTTTACACCTTCAGATCTTTAGCTGAGAAGGATGCCGAGTGAATCTGCTTTTCTGTTGGTTTAGGCCAGCTATCACCTCACAGAACAGACGTCATGCCAAATTGGCCTAATAAATCAGACAGCATAGCAGAGACCTTTTCTTAGCACCAGAGAGGCAGAATAATTTGGGCATTTGTGCTTTCATTCTTGCTTTATCACAAGAATGGAAGTTGCCTTCCATATAGTCATAAACATCCTGGGCAGAAACAGCCTGCCAAAAAAAATGTGATTAACCTTTAACAAATGGTCTTGCAGCACAGGCCGACCCAGAGCATATAGAAAAAAACAGATCAAAGGAACTATCTTCACATCTACTGCAAACCACTTAGGTAGGGAAAGAGCAAAACCACCACTGTCTGCAACCAGTCACATCACACCAGAAATGAAGGTATAGGAAATGAGGGCAAGGTAAAGGAGACTAGAAGGTGGAGGAAGGTGACAAAGAAGAGAGCCATTCCAAATACTAGCCCCCTGAGTTCAAACCCCAGTTACACCACAAAAAAGGAAAAAAAAAAAAAAAAGCCAAATATAAATTAAATCCTGGTGCTAGGTAGACTGACCTACAGAAAATAGACTTCATTGGCTTATTCAAAACAGATCATTTTGTCCACCCCTTCCACCTTATTTGCCAATAAGATGGCTGTGGAAGAAGGGGTAGCCCCTGGCTTCTCTGCTCACACATTTAGCCTAAGCTGGACTAAGGAAAATGAACCTGGAGGCCTCCCTGGTTACGGGGCCTGCCAGGAGCAGAGTTACAAATGACTAAAGAAGTACAGCTCCACACACCCCTCAGCTCCTGTGGAGTCACTCAGAAGGCTGAAGGATGACGTGGTCCTGGATGTGTTCTCAGTGGTTTTCCCAAGAGGCCTTGGGTCAAATTTCAGGGCCTTTATTTCTCACCTTTTCACAGCATCTGTTCAGCAGAACAGGAACTACTGGCAATTACCCAATGAATTTTGGCTGTGAATACAATATTTCCAGCCAAAAGCTTTGGGTCTGAAGTCTTCAGATAACTAAGCCATGTAGGTGTGTATGAAGTCCTCTGCCTCTTCCCCGTTCCTCCCGGCTTCCTCCAAAGATCCTAACCCCCAAACCTCATAGGCAGGAAAAGGCAGCACCAGGTATGTATGTGGTCGACCACACAGCTTTATTTCACCCACACTCCATTTGTAATGGATTCAGGCAGTAGCAAGAGTATAGGACTCCATTCCTAGGACAGCCTGACCTAGCAGTCTTTGGTTCCAGGAGGAAACAGATTTATTTTAAAAAAAAAAAAACTTTAGAAAATGTGAAAAATTAGACAGAGGTCATCTTATGAAATGAGTATTTAAAAACAGTGCAGAATGGAAATAACACTAGATTGGGAATCAGGAGACACAGGCACTATCTAGGCTCTGCTTCAAACTAGCTGCGACCCTGGGTGTGTCATTCTCCTGTTGGGCCTCACTTCATCCCCAATTAAGCTAACACTAAGCGAGGTTATTCTCTGAGGTACTTGACAAAGGTAAAATCTCACAAATGCTCCCATCAATTGCCATCAAGTCCATTTGGTGAACACATAGCGCCATTTCCCTTCCAGGAAGACCAGGACGAAGTTCCAGGAATGTATTTTAGGCAAGTCCTGCATCTTTGGCCATCCCATAGAAGATGCCTCTAGCTGCAATGAGGTTGACTGGAGAATCAAATTCAGCTACTATCCCTTTGTCTAGGACGAGGACCCTAGACAAAAAAGAAAAAAGTGATCAGGTCTCCATCAGCCCAGACTTGGCCTGAGAGTCCAACTCTGCCCTTCTGGGTACTGTTCAGGTCCCACAGTGACAAGCCAGCTCACCCTCTCAGTCAACCCACCCAGCACAGCCACCATTGCCACATGTGCACACTTGCAAGGTTGGTTATTTTTGCCATTCTGTTAGCTCTCCTGGTAAATGAAGCTGTTTCTGTGATCAAACAAAAGGTCCTATTTATCTCTGCTAGTCGGGGCTCTGAAAACCTTCCCTAATGAGCCCTTCCCTCTGCCAGGGTCACAGGACTTCAGCAGACTGTGCGCAGGAAGCCACGGGCCTGTGCACTGTGCCCTGTGCACATCCATCTGCTTTGAGGCAACTCACAAAGGCACACGGCAGGAAACCAGCTGCAGTGAGGCCTGACACTGGAATCTGGGACTTGAACTGCAGCTCTGGCTGCTGCTGCTGCTGCTGGGTGTACCTCCCTCCATGCACACCCACCAATTAGGCAGGCCTGAGCCTGGGGTTTGTTTCCCACCCAAGCAGGTGGCTCCACCAGGGTGAGGCAGGAAGTCTGGAGAGATGGAGTAGGGCAGGAACATCACTCCATCCTCTGAGGGAAGGGCAGGATGCTCTCTCACCCCTCCCCCTACCTTTCCCCATGCGGGACGGAGTGTTTCCGTGGACATCACTGCCTGGCCACCGTCCGAATTGGGAATAGGATACTGCTCCCCCAATCAAAGTCTTCAGAGGCTTCTCCTGGTTCTTAGGCAGCTCAGTGGGGACTGTTCTCTCCCCCTCTGCCCTCCAGTCTCCTGTGCCCCCTGCCCAGGGGCATTTGCTGCCTCCTTTGTCTGAAAGGCTCAGTTCTCTCCCTCATTTCCTCACTCCCACCCCTTACTCATCCTGTGGGGCCTATCTGATGCAGCTATTCCTTAGGAGAGAAAGGAAAAGGCCCTTAGCCACCAAGTATAGATAGGCTTCCTCTGACCTGCACAGTCTCTTGCTTCCTTCCTGGGGTGGGGAGGGGGAACTGATTACGGGTTCTATAGTCTGACCATTTGATTTCTTTCTGCCTGCTCTACTAGAATGAATAAACTCCCAACCCCCAAGGTGGGGATGCACCGCCTACCCTAGGGCTGCTGGGGAGTGAACTGTTTTTGGTTAGTGCTGGGATGGAACCTCTCAGCCCAGCCCTGTCCCTTCTCCAGACTCAGGGCCCAACACTTTCTTCCCACCCTTTCTCCTCCTAGTGGGGTCTTGGATTGTGGAGGGGGTTGAGATAGGGATGGAGCAGATGATAAATTGCATATTCCTGCTGGGCCCCCAGACCCCTGGCTTCATGGGGATACTTCTGAGAGTCTGGGTTGTTGCACTGCCCTGTCGTAGACCCTACTCACTCTATGCTGCCCTGAGGTCTTATGTTGATGAGTTCTCACCATACTCCTTCCCCATGCACCTGTTCAGTCCTCCTGTCTCCTCCTCCCCTCACATAGCTCCCACCACCACCCCCCCATTTCTAGGGAACCCAGACTGCCAAGCCAGTGCCAACTCACTTCCACAAGGCTTCTGTCATTCAGCACCCTCCAACACCTTGACTTTTGGCACAATGAGGGACAAGGTCACAGTGTTTTCTTTTGCTGAGTGCTTCCCCAAGGGAGCCAAAAGATTCAGAGGGCAAGGCCTTCTCCCTTATCCTTTGAGGGACTAGTGCTAGGGAGAGGTACAGTAAGTAGACCTTAGGTGCTGGGGAGCAAATTGACATTTCCTGATGTCACCTGCAGTTTAAATACATTGTTTCATTGACTCCCTATAACAATCCTGAGAGATGTTACCATTTAAATTTGAAACAGGCTCAGAAAGACTTTGCAAATCGCTCAGAGCAATCAGAGACTCACTCCACTGGCTGAGACACAGTACTGTGGCAGCACCTCCTGAGCTGCTTCCTCACCTGTGACCCTATGTGATTACCTGTCACAGGGTGACAGTGAGGTGCACATGAAGTGGTGAATACTCTGTCAACAGGCTTGGAAGCGGAGGGACACCCTCTCACCTCACCCCATTAATAAGAGATGGGATGGAGGGGGTCCTTGCACAATTCCCAGTGCCTGGAGAGCCCCAGTGTGCCCCTTTCCCACATCCTGGTAACTCCAAAGTGTTCCCTGTGTCTTACAATGTCCCTGTGCACAGGTAACCCCACTCTGTTCTGTCCCTTAGCCATGTATTGGGAAACCCTGCTCTGCCTGCCCCCCTCCCCAACCAATCCCAAGAGCTCTCCCACACCCAGATGCCCTAATCCATCTTGCCTCTTCCAGATGCCCAGGTGACACCCCTTCCCCAAATCCAGTCCCTTGCTTGAGTTTCCTTGTCCCACCTGGTGTAATCCATGATCGTGTTAAGCCGGTGGGCGATGGTCAGCACAGTGCAGGTATCAAACTGGGTGCGGATGGTCGCTTGGATGAGGTCATCAGTCTCCAGGTCAATGGCAGCTGTGGCCTCATCTAAAACTAGGATGCGGCTCTTTCGAAGCAGGGCTCGGGCCAGGCACACGAGCTGCCTCTGGCCAACACTAGGAAGAGGAAGGCAGGCATTTCTAGCTAGGTGCCCCAAACTGCCTTCCAGCCCTTCCTCCCTGACCTGTTTCTGTCTCTACTCCTCAACAGCCTAGGAATGGCTTACTATCTGCTTTTGCCATTTCTGCATCAGCCCAGCTCTCCTGGAACAGGAATAGTGGTCTTGGCCACCACAGGGCTAATAAGAGGCCTTAGGAACAGATGAACCAGTGCTAAATATCATTTTGTAACCTCTAGTGTTTTTGGCACTCCCAGGCCTTCTCATTCTGTGTGTCCTTCCCCATGCTCACTCCTCAGCTAGTGCCATGATGTATCTCTTGCTTCACTCTAGCAGTCATTTATACCTTAGTAAGAACAAGCTTATATTGCTCTTCCTGGATACTTCCATATAAGCCACCCATGCCATCTTGCTCAGTCTGATCATACCATTCAGGCAGTCATCAGGTAGTCACCCCCATGGTGACTACAGACTAGTGCTTTACTGTAGGTGCAAGAAAGTAGGTGCAAGAAAATGCCAGGGAAGGGGAGGAGTGGAGGACTCCCCATGTTTGTTCATTGGGGATCAGGAAGGGCAGATGCATACCTTCAACCTCCTGGCTTGGAAGTCAGAACCAATGGACAAAGCAAGACTGTGTTCCTAACCACAGAGGCCACAGCACCCCCACACCCAAGGACAAATACCTCAGCCCTTCCCAGAGGGGTGAGTCACAGCCAGAGTGAAGGCCAGGCTCCCTCCCTGGCCTATTCCCGCAACTAATGAAGGTTTTGGCAGCAGAATGAGCCTTCAGATAGAACTCAAAACTGATTTATGGTGGGACTGGCCCAGAATACAGGTTATACTTAAAGCGGCCACCGGCTCAGTGAGGGAGAAGGAGAGCTGATTTCGGTCTCCCAAACTGGTGTGTGTGAGGCTGGGGATGCTCTGGGGGAAGCAGGAGAACAAGCCAGCAGACAGCCATGGGTTCAGGGGCAGGAGAGCCCACACTGTCTGTCCATCAGACACCCCCAGTGCGGTTACATGAGTGAAAGCCGGCCAAGGTGCACATAGAGTCTTAAAGTGTGGCCCAGGGTCGGGGTGGAGCAGTCCCATCCATTGTTTGTTTGAGGAAGGTGGCTGTAATGCAGCCAGGAAAGGTTTGGGACAAAAGTGCCTACTTCCTGAGTCCCCGCCCTGCTCCTGGCTAGCAGAGCAGCTTTGGCAAATAATTACATACCGTGGAGCTGTATTTCCAGCCCACAGTAAAGATTACAGGAGATAGTGGGGCCAAAGTACTTGGAACATTGTAAAACACTGCAAATGTAAACTTCTTTGTTTTCACTTTGAGGTCAAGGGACATCCGTGAATATAGACTGAACATGAAAGCGGAAATAAAGGGTTGGGGGTGTAGCTTGGTGGTAGATCGCATTCCTATAGCCACATGAGGACCTTGGTTTGATTCCCAACACCAAAAAAAGAAAGAAAAAAAAGGAAGAAGAAAGGAAGGGAGGGAGGGAAGGGAATTTTAATTACATAAATGTGGCTTACACTGTATTTTTATTGGGCAGTGCAGTGCAAAGAGGTATGGACTATTTTTATCTCTATTTTAGTATTTGTTTTTGTTTTTTTTGAGACAGGGTTTCTGCCTAGATAGCCTGGGCTGGTCTGGTCTCAGACTCTCTTAATCCTTCTGCTTCAGCCTCCTAACTGGTGGGATTACAGAGGTGTGCCACCAGGCCTGACTATTATCTCTATTTTAGATTGAAGGAACAGAGAGGTTAGGCGTCTTGCCCCAAATCACACAGATGGGGCCAGGGATGTGGCTCAGTGGTAGAGTATTTGCGAAGTGTGTGTGTGTGAGATCTTAGGTTCAATCCCTAGCATTGCAAAACAAAACAGAGCAAAGAAAAACCACACAGATCTCTTAATAAGAAGTGACACAAAGCTCAGTGGCTGGTGATACAGAACCTAGGGACCAGAAGGGTCCAGAAAACTCCTTCTGTGCATTCCTGAGCTGACCACAGCCATCCTGGAAAACATCTGTGACTTCCCTGCTCCACAGGTTCCAGGGGAACAGTCCTTTCCAACTCGACAACCTCACACAAGCAAACCTTGGAGCCCACCCAGGAGGATTCCAAGACAGGCAGGGTTGTTTCCTTTGAATATCACTGAGGTTGAATTAGATGATTGCCAGAGCTGGTTCAAATCCCAGGCATGTCTTCTCTGAGCTGTGCAACTTTGGCTAATCCCATACCTTCTCTGAGCCTCAGCTTCGTCACCTGTGAAGTGGGCCTATGTACCACCTAAGGGCCTCCTGTGAGGAGTCAGTGAGGTAGCAGCACCTGTGCCTGGTGCATAGAATATGCCCAATACAAAATAACACCTCAGCTCAACTCTGTCTACGAGCAGAATGGGGAGGGGAAAAAGGGCTCACCTGGATTGTTTTTTGATGCCAGACTTCTAGAACCCCCAAAACTCCCCTGGGGGCGGGCTTGTGTTGCTCCCCTGTCCGCGCCCATTCCTACCTGAGATTCTCCCCACCCTCAGAGCACTCGAAGTCCAGTCCTGCTGGCTGGGTGCTCACAAAAGTGTGCAGGTGGGACAGCTCCAAGGCCCTCCAAATGTCCTCCTCCGAGTAACGGCCAAAGGGGTCCAGGTTCATACGCAGGGTCCCCGAGAACAGGATGGGATCCTGTCAGTGCAGCAAAGCCTCACTGAGAAGCAGCTCAGGCCCCAGGCATAGGGAGAAAAAGAGGCACTAAGGTGGCAGCATTCCCACTCTGTCCCCAGGCCCTCCAGGAGGAAGACATCACCAAGGAGACAGGAAATTGCCTGCGGGGGAGTGACAAGTCATCTGCGAAACCAGGAACCACAGCCACTAATCTGACTCTGAATTGTCCAGTCGGCAGAAAAAAACACCCTCAAGAGCCAGAAAAAGAGACATGTGATTCCAGGCCACGCAACCACGAGACCAGGACAGGACATCTTAGGGATAGGGCATTTGGAGGGGTCCTGTGGTTCTTCCCCTTTGCTAGCCCAAGAGATCCAAAGGCAGGTCCCAACTGGGCCAGGTCTGTCTGACCCTTTCGGATCTGTGACTTGGTGGCTTTTTGATGGGTCTGCTCTCTGCTATGACATTTTCTCTCCCACAAGATTTCCAAGGCCCCTCTCAGTCCTCAGAACACCAGTGGAGCCTGTGTCCCAGGGACATTGGCCAATGTGGCCAGTCCCTGGCAGGCTTGTACCTGGGGGATAATGGTCAGCTGAGACCGCAGGTCATGGAGGCCAATGTCTGCGATGTTGAGGCCATCAATGCGGATTTCCCCCTCTGCTGCCTCCAGGATTCGGAACAGGCAGAGCGTCATGGACGATTTGCCAGCCCCGGTGCGGCCCACGATGCCCACCTGTTGGAAGTGAGGAAGGGGCTGTCAGAAGCTAGGAGGTCATGGAGGCATCCCCAAGGTCTCCCCTGGCAGCCTAGCAGATGTCAGGCTGGAGCACCTGCACTCCCCATGAGGGCGAAGGCCGTGTTCCCCGGCACATGTACCTTCTCACCACCGTGCACGTGCAGCGTCAAGTTCTTCAGCACCAGTTCCAGGCCAGGTCGGTACCGCACAGAATAGTTCTGGAACTTCACCTCCCCATGCGTGGGCCAGCCTTTGGGAGGACGGCTGCCCTCCACCACCCATGGCGCCTGGAGGGAGGATAGCCAGATTCTTAATAGACCCCTCTCTCCCAAAGCCCCCTCAATTCTCATCCACCATGGTCTCAGGGGGAGGGGCCCTGGCACCTTGTGACTCAATGAATCCTTTATCCCCCTGACTTTTTTTCCCTAGATGGAATCCAGAGTTTGAACACGTTAGGCAGGCACTCTACTACCAAGCTACACCCCGAGTCCTTTGCTTTAGTTTGTTTTCTAAATAGTCTTCTGCTAACTTTGCACATGGTCTTGGATCACAGTCCTATCTTTGCCTTCCAAATAGCGGGGATTATAGCTGCCAAATAGCCATCACACCTTACCTTTATCTATTCTATGTTTGACCTTTTGAAAGGCAGTGGGACACAATGATGTCCCCAAAAACAACAAAAAGTCCTCACCCTAGAAGGCTTGCATTCCAGTGCAGAAGCATACAATGACACATAAGCAAGTTTATATAATGGAAGTAATGAAGTGCCTGGTGTTGCTGTTTTGCACAGAATGATCAGAGAAGCCTTCCTGGAGGAGGTGATACTTAGTAAAGGCCTGAAGGAGATGAGGGAACAAGACAAGTGGATGTCTGAGGGAAGGGCAGGGGGAGAAGCAAGGAAAAATGCCTCCAGTTATACTCTGGGGCACAGAGACAAAGGTGAAAGGTAGCAGACTAGGGAGTGGGGGTCCTCAGGTTGTTTTAAGGATTATGGTTTTGTACTCTAGGATGCAAAGCCATCAGAGAGCCGCAGGGCTCAATGATGTGAAGGGATGTGTTTTAAAGGCTCTCGCTGGCAGCTACAAGGAGAACAGACTGGCTGAGGTATGTGGTAGAGGCTTCAAGGCAGGACCAGCTATATAATTTGAGAGGCCCAGTGCAAAACAAATACAGGGCCTTCTCTTGTTCAAAAAGTATTAAGAACATCTAGGTAATGGTGGCAGAGTACTAAACCAAGCCCTTCTGAGAGTGGAGCCCTTCTAATGGAACCAGTGTGACCATTTAGCCAACATACCCATGAAGCCAGCCCTGCTTCCTGGTATGGAAGCCAGACGGCCGGCAGTCAAGAAGCACAGCAAGCTGGGCATGGGGGTACATGCCTGTAATCCCAACTCTCAGGAGGCGGAAGCAGGAGGATGGACAGTTCCAGGTTAGCCTGAGGCTACACAGTGAGTATAAGACCAGCCTGGGCTACATAGTGAGACTGTCCCAAAAAACTAAGGGGTGTAGCTCAGTAGTAGAGAGATTGCCTAGTATGTGCAAGGCCCTGGGATCCATCCCAGCTCCACGTGGCGGGGGTAGGGAGGGAGGAGACCAGCAAGATAGACGACAGAAACTCTGTTGAGGAAAATGGGCAGCAAAGCATCATTCAGGATAAGAGGACAGAACCAGGCGGCAAAGGCAGGGCAAGCTGAACTGACGGACATGAAGAGAGAGACACGAATATTCCGAGACTGGAGCCAAGGCCTGGGAAAGGTAGGGCTAGACTGGAAGTTGAACGGGCAGAAAAGGGTGAGTGGGTGGGTGCTCAACAGAAGTTGACTGGCAGGCTGGGAGCTGGGGTCATACAACCCAGGAGGATGCCAAGAAGAAAGGTGGGGCCATTTCACCTGAATGTTTCTGAGGTTAGATGAGATGAGAGCAGAAAAGCATCTCCTCAGTTGGATCCAGGCTGGTCATGGGTGAGCAGTTTCGGTGGAAAGCAGGCTGTGGGAGGTAGGCAAGATCCCAGGTACTGAGGAAATGGAGACAGCACAAGCAGGCCACAGTTTAAAAGGAGCTTCATGACAAAGGAGAGTACAGAACTGGGACAGCAGGACGCAGAGGACAGGGAAGGTTTTTGTCTGTGTCTAGAATGGAAGACAGAACATTTTTGCACACGGATGACAATCATACCACAGACAGAGCAAGACTGACGGTATAGGAAACATAAGGCATGGGAAAGTCAACTCTCCAAGAGGCCTGGGGAAGAACCAGAGGAGCCAGACTTTGAACTGAGAAGGAAGAACACCGGCCAAGAGAGAAAGCCAGTGAAGGAGGCACAGGCAGGGCTAAAGTGCTGGAGGCAGGGAAGCAAAGCAGGAAGACCCAGCATGCAATGTGGTTACAAACTTGAAATATAGCCAGTGATTTTTCTTCAGTACCCTTTTAGCTGTTCAGTGCAGGTATGAAGAAATTGGGCTTAGCCAGGGTAGAGTTTCGCAGGTGAGTACTACAGAGTGAGAAGAGGGAGGGAGAGAGGGAGAGAGAGACAGGCAGACAGAGGCAAAGGAGAGGTCAGGAGAAATGGATGGGCAAGGGGGTTGTGGAGCATAGAATGTTGGTAGAAATAGAATCTAGGCTAGCCAGGGAGGGAGGTAGCCAGAGTTGCTGATAGACTGGTCATGATCAAAGTCCCACTGAGATCAAAATACTGTGACCACAGAAGACTCGACCTGGCACACTTGAGCCAGGGTGGACAGGGATGATCTAAAAGTGGGCTGTTTGACACTAAGCACTCAGAGATGTGGCAGCTTCCAGGCACAAAGAAGTCTGGGGTGTGACCATGGCAGGGGAAGATTAGTAAAGTCTGGGCATCCCCCAAAAGAGAGATTCCTTCTCAACACAGGGCATGCTGCCTGACCTCTGCTCCTTTGACCAGGCTGGTCTCTTTGGCTAGAATCTTACTTTCTCCCTGCTCTATCCATCTTACCTAGTCTTCAAAAACTGTGCATCCTCCAACTATGACTTGCCCTCTGGTCACCCCAGCTAAATGATCTCCCCTGTCTGCCACGATGAGTGCACCAGTTCAGAGCTCTTGTCTACCATGTGTCTTACCCCTTTCACTGGATGGGAATCCTCTGAGGGCACCCCTGTCTTGCTCAGCTCTGAGCCCTCTACACCTCCTAGCATCGACCTCTGGCTAATGTTCTGAGGGTTGGCTGGATAGATAGTTAGATGAATGGATACATGAATGAATGAATGAATGAATGATGAATGAATGAAGAGCCACTTAAACAGCTGGCCTTGATATGCAGGGATGATGGGCTACCAAGCACCCTTCTTCATCTGATCCAGATTCCCTCTGCCCCACCCAGGGTCATCCCAGGACCCACCTCTGTCTCTGTCTTGGAGTACTCCTTAATTCTCTCCACAGCTACAATATTAGACTCCAAGTCTGACATCGTCCGTATCATCCAGTTCAGAGCCATTGTCACCTGGTCAAAAGGACTGGGTTATGGGAGAGCTCCCACCCCACTCAGCAATGGCCTTGGGAAGAGTTCAGTCCTTGATCATGATCTACCAAAGGGATCCTAGCCCATCTGTGATCCACAGGTGTGTGCTGACTGGGCTGTACTCAGGACTGTGCCTCAGGCAGTGACAACACAGACTTAACCATGTTCGTCTCACTCACTGCTTCTTAGATTTTAATATGTGTAAGACTTCCCAGAGCATTTATTAAAATGCAGCCTGTGATTCAGCAGGTCTGGGTGGGACCTGAGAGCCCTCATTCCTAACAAGCTCCCAGAAGATGTCAAGGCGGCCAGTCCAGGGCCACACTTTGTGTACCAGGGAGCCTTAATAGAAATGCAGAATCTGAGCTCCATCCTGGACCTAGTGACTCAGAATGCATATTCTAACAAGCTCTTCAGGTGGCTGACATGCACGTTAATGTTTGAGCAGACGTGCTGTCCCAATGTCCTTTTGTTTACCAGTGCACTCAAAGTTTGAGCCACCTGAGGCATTAACAATGTGATCTGCTTCACAAATATTCTGCTTGCAGTTACATCACTCTTTGCCAGTTCAGGCCGGTATCAAGGTGACCTACCTGATCTCCAGCCTTTAGTCACCTGATCTGTGTACAATTGTCCCTCACTATCCACAGGGGATTGATTCCAACCTCCCTCCCCCACCTCAAAAAAAGATACCAAAATCCACAGATATCCAGGTCCCTTATGGACAGTGATGTAATATCTACATGGAACCTACTCACATCCTCCCGCAGGCGTAAATCATCTCTAGATTGTGCTGCCTAATGCCGTGCCTGTCCATCACTTCATTCACATGGACTCAGCACAGTAATCGGGGCAAGAAGAATTCAAGTCTTGCTTTTTTGAAATTTCTGGAATATTTTTCAAATTTTTCCAGTGTGTTGGTTCAATCTTCAGATGCAGAGACCAAAGAGATAAAGTGCCAACTGAACTTTCTCTGCAGGCGTGTAAACACGAGATGCAGTTCAGCCCTACACTTTCCTCTGTCAGGTTGACATACATCATGCCCAGTTCTGTCTGTCTTGGGTCCATGCTCCAAGATCATTTCTCCAACTCCCCAGGGCAAGGAAACTCCTCTGGGCTCCTACCACATTTGTTCCTCCTGCCATATAGACCTCCCCAGCCTGCATTACATTTCCTGCTGATGAGAGAGTCTCTCCATGCCTAGTGGGGAGCACATAGGCTTTGAGAGCAAAACCTGTGGCTCGTCCCAGTGTTGAGCAAAGAGGGACACTTAGGAGATGCTTGTGACAACTGTATTGCCTCTGCCCCAGTAGTAAGTAGCCCAGGCCCCTCCATACCTGTAGGGCATAGGACACAGAAAGGCCCACCATCCCTGGACTCAGGCTGCTTCTCCCAATCACTGCAAACAGAGCTGCAAAGAGCACCACACAGTTCCCCACAAACTCCACATGGACACCTAGCCACCTGTGCGGACCAGACAAGAAGGACACAGGCAGGTGTTAGGGGAACCAGGATGCCGAATAGCACTGGTGGAGGAAGGCTGGAGAAGGCAGCTTCTGACCGATTGGAGGCGATATACGGGTAGCAGCTCTTCTGGTTGATGTCGACCTTAGTATCACTGAGGACCTTGAAGTCTTGGCTTCGGCCATAGGCCCGAATAACACTAGTGCCAGTAACTGTCTCTGAAAAGTGGGAGTAGATGGGTGAACGGCTGACCGATTCCAGCCGCTTCAGTTGTCGTGATGTAGCCACATAGAAGCGCTGATGGAGGATGGGGAAAGAGTTTGGTGTCAGAGCTATGGAACCCCCAACTCAGTCCTGCCTGTCCTCGGAACCCATCCATGTTCCCCTGTGCCTCCTCCAGTCAGTCCTACTCCCCCATGAGAACTAACTGTCTTCCTCTATCTCCCTTGGGAGACTTAGGGTCTTTTTTTTTTTTTTTTTTTTTTTTTTTTAGTGGCACTAGGGTTTGAACTCAGGGCCTCACTCTTACTAGGTAGGCACTCTTACTACTTGAGTCACTCCACCAGCCCCTTCTTTTTGTGATTTTTTTTTTTTTTCCAAAATAAGTGTCTCGTGAACTATTTGCCTGGGCTGGCTTTGAACTGCGATACTCCTGATCTCTGCTTCCTGAGTAGTTAGGATTATAGGTGTGAGCTATGGGCTCCCAGCAAGACTTAAGGTTTTAATATACATTTTTGTCCTTTCCCTCTGGTCAGCTTAGCTCACCAGTTGGCCAGGCTGCTTCCTCAATGAAGCCCTCTCTTGACTCCCTTCTTAGCTCCTGCTCCCCATCTCCCCATGGGGGTCTGGATCACAGCATTGACCTTGGTTGGCCTTCACTTCTATGTAGTGAAATGCCCACTTAAAGACCCTCACTAGCAATGTGCCCTGAGTGAAATGATTTTGCAAAAAGTAAGATAATTTCGTGTTCTTTTCTGAAAACAAAACAAAACAAAACAAAAAACCCTCAACTTTAGCTGGTTAAGCTTCAGCCTCTCAAATGCATGGTTCCGTCTCCAGTTTCCATCCTCTGCCTGTGGGCCCCAACATGGCCAGGGGTGCACACGAGGGGTAGATAGGAGGCTCCCCTGGCCCAGCCACAGCACAGTCCTGGTCATGGTCTCCATACCCAAGGGCTGCACTTCCAGCCACCTGGTGGATTCCCTTTCTCAACTGGGTACTTCCCTGAGGAGCTAGGTCCCACTGACTGCAAAGCCTCTACAGCGAGCTTATCTATATGTCAGCAACACATGTGTATTAAAAACACACAGCGGGCTGGGGGCATGGCTCAAGTGGTAAAGCACCTACCTAGTAAGCACAAGGCCCTGAGTTCAAATCTACATACTGCCAAAAAACACACAGCACATATGTTTAAATATGTATAAGAAGGAGGAAAGAACAATGGTGTCCCAAAATGTTCACGTTTTACTAAAACACAGCTGGGTACCAGTGGCTTACACCTGTAATCCTAGCTACTTAGGAGGCTGAGATTGGTGGAATCATGGTTCAAGGCCAGGTCAGGTAAATAGCTCACAAGACCCCATTTCCAAAATAACTGGAGCAAACTAGATGGGAAATGTGGCTCAAGCAGTAGAATGCCCACTTTGCAAACAGGAAGCTCTGAGTTCAAACCCTAGTCCCATCAAAAAAAAAAAAAAAGAAAAAAAAGCCAACAAGAAAGGGCCTGGAGCCAGTCAGTTTATGAATTACACATTTCATCCTCACACCAACTCTATGAGGCAAGTTCTAAGAGTCTAATTTTTAGGTGAGTAAAATGAGTTTCAAGGAAGTAAAGTAATAGATTATCATGCCTAGTGCTATCTAGAAGCAACCTAGTGGGCAGGAATGCCAGGCCCACACCAGAGCCCTGCCCACTGCACACCCCACCCACACCAGAGCTTCAACATGAGCACCCTGCCCACAGGCGCAGGCACCTGAACAAAGGCGTAGAACACAGCCAGAGGCAGGATAACCACAATGAAGAGTGGTGTGCTGACCACGATGACCACAACCGTGGAGATGGAATTGTAGAAGGAATTGAACAGCATGAGGATAGTGGGGGCCAGAACCTCATCAATGACATAGATGTCCTTGGAGAAGCGATTGAGGATACGGCCTGAGGGCGTCGTGTCAAAGAAGGACTGTGGTGAGCGCATCTTGTTGTGCAGCAGTGCCTCGTGCAGCAGGCGTGCAGCCTGGATGCCACCCACAGCCATAGTAAAGGCAGACAGCATCACCAGGACTCCTGTTGGGGGAGATAGAGAGCTGTTGGCTCACCTTGTGGAGGGGGTGGGTATGAAGGGGCAGATCCTGATGCATGGGATGGCCTGTAAGGTTAGGGAGACTCTGAGACAGGAGTATGGTTTAGGGAGCCTGAGAGCCAGAAGAGAGGAAGAGATTGGGGAGCCTCTTCTGGGCACCCCCACGGGTTCACCTTGCAGAATTCCCAAAGCAGCATAGACTCCCAGTCGTAAGTAGGTGTTATTTTGTTTCCCATCCACCACAGCATCGTTGGTCCAGTCGCTGAGCCACACGTTAGCCCCAATGGCAGCTGAACTTTGGCCAGCATACAGGAAACAGATAGCCACCGTGGTACAGAGCCCCACAGCCTTGGCATAATCCCAGAATACACTCGGCTTCACCTGCAGCAAGTGGTCATGGCAGTTGGAGACAGAATTCCAGGAGCACTGGAGCTGTTCATATCTATTCATCCCCAGCCTTTGTCAGCCCTACTCACAGTGCCAGTCTCTGCCTTCTCCTCCTGGATTAGTGCCCCAGTCTCCTTCGCCTTTGTCACCTGCACCATCTTCTCTGATTGACTCAGGTGTCTCCTGGACACAGGCCGGCCCTGTCCCTCTCCTTCTGAGGACATGGTGCTCAGCTGTCTGTGGAGGCAGCTAGTCAGACGCAGACACTCCCCTCAGATAAGAGGCCCATATGCACCCCACCTTGGGGCTTGGGAGCCCTGCTGCAGCCTTCAGGACCAGGGCAGGGTGGGGGGACAGGGAGCTCACCTCATAAACTGTTTCCGGACCTCATATACGACTGGCTCATTATCTGCCAGGTCTGTGTTGGTGCTGAGTGTGTCTTCGATCAGTAGCATCTCCTCATCTACATTTTCCAAGGCTGCAGGGGTGGGGAAGGGAGGAAAGCCACAGAGGTTGACTGCTCACCTAGCAGTCCCCAGCCCCCACTTCAATGAGTAGGTCCCATGGCTAGGGAAGAAGAGGACTCTGACTGCATCTACTTCATCTTTTCCTCTAGTGACATTCGACCATCACACAGATGGCCCAGGTTTCCCAGAACCTCCCTGGTACGACACTGGGCCAGTTCAGAGATACTTGGAGATCCCAGACAGGACTGATGCTGGGAGGGCCAGGGGTGGTGGGTACCGATTGGGCCATCTTCGAGGGGTTCCATATTCTCATCCAGTGCGTAGTTGCGGAGGAAGTTGGCAAAGGAGCCATCATGCTGCAGCAGTGCTGAGTAGTGGCCCATTTCAGACACCTGTCCGTTGGCTAGTACTATGATGAAGTCTGTCTGGGACAGGAAGCTGACACCATGGGTCACCAGCACCCGAGTCTGTGAAGAAGGCAGCAGGGTCTCTCTCACCCCACCACCCTGGGCACTGGCACAAAGCCATTAGACATCAGAGGCTGAGCATGAGGCATCCTGTGCCAGGGAGCGTGGACAGGTGCACTGTAACTCAACCCATGCTTGTGGAAGTCTGTTCAGTGCCTGGGGGTGGGGGAGGGGCATCCCCATGGGTTTCCCTGCCACCCAACCCCCCACTCCTGCTTCTCCTGTGGGTCTCACCCAACACCACCTACCTCCCACCTGTTCTCTCCTAGGGCCCTTGATCTCACCTTAGCCCCCTAGCCTCCTGGGGTCTCACCTTGCCTGCCAGCACACCTTCTGGCCCAATCACTTTGTCAAAGATATGTTTGGCCACATGGGAGTCCACAGCTGATAATGGGTCATCCAGTAAAAAAATGTCGGAGTCACTGTAAACAGCTCGGGCCAGACTGACCCTCTGCCTCTGGCCCCCAGACAGGTTAATGCCCTGGAGTGAGGAAGTACTGAGAGGTGGGTACTGGTGAAAGGGGTACAATAGCCCAAGGACAGAGCTGTCTATTGTCATACACCAAGGCAGACCTCTGAATCTATATTTCATAGGACGCCAGGCTGTCCCTACAAACCTGTAGGCCACAGAGGGGTGGTAGCTCTCAGTGTCCCCTGGGCAGATGAGGCTGTCCTCCTCCCTTGTTCCACCACCCTGCCCAGCTGGCTGTCCTACCAACCCAAGAACCGCTGATGGATAAGTGGAAAAACAAATGAGGCATATCCATACACTCGAGTATTATTCAGCACTAAGAAGGAAGGAAATGCTGCTACATGCTACAAGAATGAACCTGAGAACATTATGCAAGTGCAACAAATTGGTCACAAAAAAGACACTGTGTGATGACACTCACATGAAGTACCAAGAATGGTGATTGACAAGGGTTAGAGGATGAGGGAATGTGGAGTTACTCTTTAATGGTGCAGACTTCCAGTATGCCAAGATGAAAAGGCTCTGAAGATTATTGCATAACAATGTGAATATACCTAACACAACTGAACTGTGCACTGAAAAAATGGTTAAATTGGTACATTTTATATTATGTATACTTTACCACAATTAAAATGAGTCAATTAAAAAAGAAAATTCAAAGCCAGGCATGGTGGTATATGCCTGTAATCCCAGCTACTCAGGAAGTAGAGACAAGAGGATCATGGTGTGGGGCTGGCCCAGGAGGGGGAAAAAAAAAAAAAAAAACCTAAAAGCAAAAAGGACTGGGGATGTGGCTTAAGTGGTAGAGTACTCAAGTACCAGACCCTGAGTTCAATCCTCAGCACTAAAAAGAAAAAAAAAAAAAGAAAGGAAGAAAAAAAAACAAAAACAGCCAGGCATCTAGCCCATGCCTATAATCCTAGCACTGGGGAAGCAGAGGCAGAAGGATCTCGAATTTGAGGCCAGCCTGGGGTATATAAGTGAGAGCCTGTCTTAAAAACCGAACAGCAAAATACCCCTCAGCTTTTGCCAATGTCCCATGTTTTCTACCATAAAGGCCAAAATCTTAACCAAGATCTCGCCAGCCCCATTTCCTAACCTTCTGTCAGGCTAAAATGTGCAGAATGTCCATCCATGTCTACATACGGTTCCTTGGCTCACACTCTTCAAGCTTTCTTTAAGTGGCCTGCAAGGTTCTAAATTACCCCTCTGGCTTCACCTTCTCCTCCTGATCTGCCTCTCACTCTGTTCCAGCCACGATGGCCTCCTTACTGGTCCAATGTCCAGTCATGTTCCTGCCTGGGCCTTTTCCGTTCCTGCTCACTCTACCTCAGATGCCTCCAGACAGGGCTCCATGACCCTAGCAAGGCTCTATGCCCTCCAGACAAGGATCCATGGTCCTAAACAGAGCTCCATGGCTCAAGATGGGGCTCTATAACCCAGACAGGGTTCTAGGGTCCCCTCAGACATGGCTTGCTCTCTCTCTTTGTTGAGGTCTGAATTTCTTAATGATGCTTTCCCAAGACAGCCCAAATGATTTGGCCCTGCACATATTCCTATATTCCTATCTTGCTTTATTTTTTCCCCTTAGCACTATCCAAAACCCTGTATTTTACTTTCTCACTTAGTGTCTTTTCTCCCACTAGAATGTAAGTTATATGAAGGCAGAGATTTTAGCCTGGGGTGCATTCACAACTGTATTGTGTTGCCTAACCTATAGCAGGTATTTAATAAAAAAAAAAATCTGATGACTAGCTGAATGATGCACTCTTCTTCCTCAGTTGTTAAGATTCAGCTCAAAAGTGATGCTTTTCCTTTTGCAGAGTCGTGTCTCAGTGCCCTTTCCTGTTCCCTGCACAGGCCTTCAATCTGGCCTCAACACATTCTACAGAATCCATGTGCTCATGAGTTACCTTCTCCTAGTAATAGATCTGTTTCCCCAGTGCCCGGCAAGAGCTGGGCATGATTTTACATGAATGAATGAATGAATGAATATATGGACATGGACTGGTAGGAGGTGGGCAGCTGCATGGCTGGTCCTCAGGGATGGGAGGGGACCCATACCTTCTCTCCAATCTCTGTCTGGTCTCCACCAGGCAGCACCTCCAGGTCAGATAGCAGGGCACATGTCTCCAGAGCCTGTTGGTAGTGCTTAGGGTTCATGGCTCGGCCAAACAGCACATTTTCCTGCAGAGTGCAGTTCTGGATCCACGCCTGCTGGGGCACGTAGGCCACAGAGCCCTAGGCACAGAAGTTTACCTCAGTGTTTGCCTAAAGCTGTCCAAGCCTCCTGCCCTTACCCAGGAGCCCCTACCCCTCTCACCTTCACAGACACTGTGCCTTCCAGCTTCTCCATCTCCCCCAGCAGGGCAGACACCAGGGAGGACTTCCCACAGCCCACAGGCCCCACCACGGCCACTAGTGCTCCTTTCTGGATCTGGATGTTTAGGCTGGAAGCAAGGAGCCCCAGTCAGAGGTAGGGATCAGGTCCCCAGCCTTCTACCTGCAGACCCAAGCCCTCTTCCCTGCCAGATGCCACCCTGGGAAGTGGAGGTTCTTCCTGCATTTCTAGCCAAAGACTAAGGGAAGAAAGGCACTACAATTGATTTGACCTTCCACCCACTTTGAGCAGCTGAGAAGGGAGTGGGAGAAGCTGGTACCTGTGCAGGGTGGGAGACAAGTCCTGGGCCCAGGTGAAGGTACCATTGTGTATGGTGATGGCGTAGCCTGGGAGGATCAAGATGTTCAGGCTCAGGAAACCCAGGGGATAGGGAAGCAGACAGGGGCCTGGAGGAAGAGGGCTGGGGAGGAGCCTGGGCAAGGGGAAGGGTTCCCTGGAGGAAGGCCAGAGGGAGAAGGAGAGGAGCCCTGGGGGAGGAGTGAAGGAGAGCAGAGGATATGGAAGAGGGAGAAAGGGGGCCACAGAGCTAAAGCAGATGTGCAAAGAAGAAAAGGAGTCACAGGAGGACTCCTTTTAGAGTCCTCCTCTAAAAATACAGGATATTTTTAGAAAGCATGGAACAGAGGATGCTCGGGAGTAAAAGCTGGGACCAAGTCAGCCCAGATAGGGGATGTCTGGACCTGGGGAGATGGTCTTTCTCTCCACACACTGGGGGTCAAGTTCATCTTGGATCAGGAAATGCTGGATCCGTTTCAGAGACACGCTGGTCTGCAAGAGGGTGTGAGTCAGCCCTAGAGGCTGCCTCTCCCACCCTGCACCCCTTCTACCCTTGCTCAGTTGGTCCCCAACATCCTGCGCTAGGCAGGGTCCCCTGAGGTCCAACTGGCCGGTGTTGGGGCCCCTCCCATGACCAAGTCTTCATGGCTCCCACTGCCCAAAGATAAGGCCCTGGCTAGTAAGAGGCTGTGTTTACAACTCGGCTCTCCAGCGAACATGCCTGACCTCCTAAGACTCCACGGGATCCATTAACCTTCCGTAACCTTGAACAACTCTTACTCATGTCCCTCCCTTATCTCCAGGAGCTCCCCCTGATTATCCCCTGACCCTAAGTGACCTTTGTCTGACCTTGACCTAATCCGGCGGAGCCCAGTCCTGCCTGGCTTACCTGGGTCAGGTTGCTGATTAACTGGGGCAGCATGTTGAGAGGGGTCTTTAAGATATTGAACAAGGACACAGAGACGAAGGCCTTCTCAGCATCCAGCACGTTGTTCTCGTCCACACACACGTACACCCCGAGGGTGATCAGTGTTACCTGGGCAGCGTGGAAGTGGGTGTCAAGGTGGAGTTTGCTGGGCCCCGCCACACCAGGGACCTTGAGATGTGGGCTGGCCAAGCAGGTGGTTGGAGCCCAGCACCAGCGGAGAGCCTTACCAGGAAGGGGGTGCAGACCCAGATGAAGGTGGATATGGCCTGCAGGTAAGCACTTTTGCTCAGGAGCTGGAGCTCACCCTGCCTGATGCTCTGCACCTGCTCCAAGAAGCTGGGCTCCCAGGCATACAGCTTCAGCACCTTTATGCCACCCAGAATCTCACTCATCAGCTTGATGCGTGAGTCCTTAAGCTTCATCTGTTGCACCTGTGCAGTGGAGCGAGCACAAGAGAGAGAGATAGGAGGCACCGCTCCCTCCCCAGACCTCCTGCCCACGGGGCTCACTCTTACACACTGCAGCCGTTCCACACAGCTCACCTCACCTTTTCCTGTCCAACCTGGCATGCCCAGCCCCTTTCTCCCTGACCCATGTCCTCTGCCTGAGAAATTCAGCTCCATCCTCAGTGCCATGGTCACCAGCTTTGCAGGCAGTACCTTCTGCTCCCTTCCTAGGATGTCTAAAGCAAGTTGCACTTTCCTTTCGTTCCTGTCATCATCCCTTTACTACATATGTTTCCCCATTAGATACATACAAAGGGTGTGGACTGTTTATTTCTCTGTCCTTCTGACCTTAGTCCAAGGTCTGGCACATCAAATTAATTTATTCATTCTACCCTTATTCACTGAGCACCTACTATGTCCTAGGCCATGTGCCAGATAGAGGATATGACAATTCAGACAATATGGCTGACAATCTGATGAGGGAGGCAGATAATAAGAAACAATTACCCGGATAGATGCTTAATTATAAATAGGTATGAATGTGCTGAAGGCATGTAACAGGATGCTGTGAAAAAGGGGTGGGGACAGGGAAACTAACTTAGACTGGGTAATTGGGGTGGATCTCTGGAGGAAGTGATGTTTATGCTGAGAGATGAAGGAAGGGAAAGTTAGAGAGGCAAGGAGGGGTGAAGAGTGTTCTAGGCAGAGGAAACAGTACATGTGATGGCCCAGGAGCGCACAGAGCTTGGTACTTGGAAAAAACAAGGGAAGGCCAGCCTGGCTAGAATTTGGTCATACCATAGGCACCAGGACTTGTAAGATCAGAGGAAGCCTGGTGGGTGGTCTTAAGAAATTTTTCATTTATTCTCTGTGCAGTGGGAAACTACTCAGGACTTCAGTAAATGTTTACAAATGGACTGAATGGCCATCTGTGCTTAGCACAGTGTAGTGGAAAAAGTTCTCTCAAATTTTTTTTTTTTTTTTTTTGCCTCGAACTTGTGATCCTCCTGCCTCAGTAAACACTACCCCCAGACCCCTGGCCAGGTACTCCAGGCAGGAGCTGGCACCTGTGAGAGCACACACCTGGAAGGTTCGCATTTTCATAGCCACAGCTCCATTGAGTGGAATCAGCAAGATCATGACAGCCACTCCAGCCAGGACAGAGGGACCCAGGATCTAAAGAGACATGAGGGAGAGGGATGGACAGTCCACAAGATAGATGGACAGATAATCAAAATCTATACAGAACTCAACAGAGACCTGCTGACCTGAAATATGCTGGGCAGGAGGGAAAAAGCCATTAGTCAGCCAAACGGACAGAAAGCCAGAATGACCACCATATCAGCAGCAGCAGCCTGCTATCAGATAATGACACCAGATGGGCAAACGGCAGACAGAAAAGGCTGTCTAGACAGACAGGAAGGATAATGCAAACGGACAATGACAGAGCTATACCCACCCTGTGTTCAAGTCCCCCTTGCCCCTGGCTTCTGAGGGGTGGATCACAGTACACCAGCATCCTGGAAGTCCCTGTATCTAGGGAAGGTCTTGTGCGTACAGCACACCCCCTCCAATGGCCAAGACAAACCCCCTCTTGCCCCTTCAGCAGCAAAGACCAAGGAAGGGAGAAGAGGTCAGGCTCGGGAGTCACCTGCCAGAGGAAGTAGATTGCCAGGATGATCTGCAGCGGTGTTGACCACAGCAGGTTAAGGAAAGGGGACACGTCCATGAAGCGCTGGGCGTCCACGGACATCAGGTTGACCATTTCTCCCACAGTAGATTCACGTTTGACTGAATTGGTGATGACCAGTGCCTGCAGAAAGACAGCAGGGGATGGACTAGACCCAACAGCTTCTCCTCAGCTCCTCTCCCAACTGGCCTCTCCCTGTGCCCTGCCCCAGCTGACCTTCCTATAGAGGACACCCATGATGGCCGTGCGAAGCCTCAAGGCTGACACGAAGATGCAGTGGAAATACTGGTGTAAGATCAGTGTCTGCATCATGGAGGACAGGAACATCAGCCCGGCCAGCAGGAAGCCCCACCAGGTGGGGGCCTCAGGGTTAGAGATGAACCGGATCAGCATACTGCCAGAGAGGCATGAGGCATGAGGACGGGCGTGCTCCCCCCAAGCTGCTCCCTCTGCTTCCACCCTCAGCCTCCACTGCGCCTTTGCCTCTGAAATCCCTCAGGTAGGTTGCTGGTCCTTCACAGTCCCCACCTGGGCCAGGGGTTATCCCAGTGCTGCCTCAAGACCACCATTTCATCCTTGCTCCTTTCAGCCTGCACCTCCTTCCCTGTCCCCTATGGACCCTGCTACCTAGCCTCATTGTCACTTTCTTACCATTCCACCAGCTTGTTGTCACTTTCATCACCAGCCTCACCTGCTTGCTCTTCTCACCAAATTGAACCACATGGCAAGAAGTGCCACATTTCCACTGATTACACCTTTCTGCTCCTCTGGGCTACTGAAGATTCTAGGGCCACTTGGTTCTTACACCTTGAATTCATCCTTCTACTAGTGCTGCCGTTCTTCTGGGCCCTAGTCCTCCTCACCCATGGCTTTCTTCTTCTTTTTTTTTCTTTTATTGGTACTGGGGTTTGAACTCAGGGCCTCATTCTTGCTAGGCAGGTGCTTGAGCCACTCCACCAGCCCTTTTTTTTGTGATGGGTTTTTTTGAGAAAGGGTCTCTGGAACTGTTTGCCCAGGGCTGGCTTCGAACCGCAATCCTCCTGATCGCTGCCTCCTGAGTAGCTAGGATTACACGTGTGAGCCACTGATCCCCAGCTCCCATGGCCTTCTTCATCTCTTACCTTCTGACTTGTCTCCACTCTCTGCCTTCTCATTTAACCACCCACAGACTTCTGTCCAAACACCTTTCCTCATCTTTTATACTGCCTCAGAAGAGGAGGTGTCCCTCTGGCTTTCCAAGCCCTATCTTGTCTCCCTGAGCCCTGGACCCATCCACCTCTGCGGGAACACGCCCCATTGTTGTCTGATCTTCAATATCTTTGCTGCTGCTGGCAGCAAATGTGCCATCACTCATTAACATGATCAAGTCTCTTCATGTTGGGACAAACCTGCCCTTGGCCTCATGAAGCCCTCCAGCCATCATCAGAGCCAGGCTCACCCTTCTGTTATGATTGAGTTGTTTCTCCCAAAAAGACACATTCAGGTCCTGACCCCTGGTACCTATGAATGGGATGCATGGAATCTCTTTTGGCCATAGGGTCTTTGCAGTTGTAATCAAGTTAAAATAAGGTCATATCGGAGTAGTATAGGCCCTCATCCAGGGACCAGGTCTAAGAGAGAGGGATTTGCACACATACACAGAGGCACACAAAGAAGGTATGTGCTTATGGAGGCAGAGACTGTAGTGATGCATTTACAAGTTGGGAACACCAAGAGCTGCTGGCATCTACCAGAAGCTAGGAGAGAGGCACAAGACAGATGCTCATTTAGTCTCTTGGAAAAACCAACCTGCCAACACCCTGACTTGGACTTGGCTGCCTGGACTGATGAAAGAACTTCCTATTGTTTCAAGTTACCATGCTGTGGTAATTTGTTAGGGCAGCCCTGAAAACCCACCTCTCTTTGCAGCAACATTCTAAACTTTTATGTCCCCATCCCCACTGCAGACAGTCCCCACTACTCTTATGCCCTTTCCTTCTGTCCTGACCTCCATTCTGGCAAAGTCATAAACAACTCCATGTTGCCTTCCACAGGGTCTAGTTTGCTGGTTAACTTTCTTCCTTCCTTCCTTCTTTCCTACCTCTCTTCCTTTCTCTCTCTCTTTTCTTTTTTTCAGTGCTGGGGATGGAACCCAGGGCCTTCCCCATCCTAGGCAAGTGCTCTACCACTGAGCTACATCCCCAGCTGACCAGCGCAGGGGGCTACCCCTTCTCTGCGACACATACTCTGTTCCAGGTATGTCCCCAGTTCTGGCTCCTTGAATCTATCCAGTGCTCCTCCCTTACCCATCAGAACCCCTAGGGCTCTGCTAGGGTTCTCTGGCCTTGCCCCTCTCACTGTTCAGGAGAGCCAAACCCCAAATGTGGGACCCTGGGCTTCCACCTAATGGGGCTCTCCCTTGCAGGGCCAGCAGCACTCCATGGCCAGCATCCTCCTCCCTCTGAGCTCATCATTGAATGAAAGGTCCATCGGAGTACAGTTACCGAGGGCAGAACCAGGCTGCCCTTGACATCTCCCTTTCCCTGGTGCACACCCATGTCTAGATTAGCTCCTGAACCTTAACCACACTTGCATCTGACTTAGTTGGCTCACTTCCTCCGCACTGCCAGCAGCGCCATTCTTTTGAAGTGCAAATCAGATTCCCCTCCCTAGTTTCCCATTTTTCAAGGTCAGCCTTAGTGCTCCAGCTCTGTTTCCTGCTCCTCCCTTGGTACTGTTTCTTCCAGCCGTCTGAAACACCTGTAGAGTCATGCTCTCTCAGCCTTTTATGACTGTGCTTGGGCTGCACTTTCACTTGGTCCTTTACCTATTTGTCCCTCCAAACTTGATAACTTCCTGAGTTGGTAAGTGTCCCTGCTGTCCCAGGCTGGCCTCCTGGCCCTTCCAGGAGTTTTTCCAGGTACCTTGTATACCTCTAACCCACTGTATTCTAACTAAACTACTATTGGTTTCTTCCATAAGATGTCAAGATGGGATCTTATCATCTTGGCATCCCTAGTGTGTAGCACAATTCTGGAACCCTGCGGGCTCCATCACTGTTTGCTAAACTAATCAATGTACACATGGAGGGGTGAGGGGTTGAGGGCTCAACTGCTAGGCATCCCCTCCTTGTCATTTGAGAGCTCCTACTAGTCCAAACATCTCACATGACAGATGACAGAGGTTGTGGAAAGAGCAGTAGCTAGAATTCAGAGCCATGGACCTCAGATCTTACTCATTTTACCAGCTGTGTGCCCTTGGTCAAGGCACTTCACCCTTCTGAGTGTCTGCTTTCTCATTTCTAAAATGGGAGCAGGGTTCCCTAGAAGTCTGTTGAAAAAGGTTAAAGAGACATGCTTGTTAACAACTCCACCATGGTGCCTGGGCAAATAGAAGTGAAATGTGAATGGGGAAACCGAGGTACAAAAGCAGTGCCACTTGCCAACAGTCACACAGAAAGTTGAGACAGCCTCTTCAGTTCCTGGTCTTAGGTTCTTTTCACTATACATTGATCCTTCCCCCTGGCCCAGCCCTCTACCCAGGGAGGGGCTGCAACAAGAGGGAGTGTGGCAAGACCTGAGTAGCTGTGGGTTGACAAAGCTGAGTAGATCTTGGATCAGCTTGAAGCAAGCACTGATGAGTAAGCTGGAGGTGAAGGTAGTCAGCAGGGCCCGCAGGAAGGAGGGCTCCCGGGACCTGAGTGGGCCGCCCAACAGCACCTGGTCCTCACCAGAAACTTTCTTCCCATTTGCTGCTGTAGCCTTGGATCTGGTTAGGGGAAGAAGGAATGGTGGGTGGGAATGGACACCTGGGCCCCAAGAAAACAAGGGCTAGTTTGGGCTGGCCAGAAATGAAGAGGAGAAGGAGGAAGAGCAGGAGGAGGAAAAGGAGGCTGGCCAGGAGTGAGGAGGAGTGTGGGGGGCAAGCTGTTTTCTTGGCTGTCAGAATTTGGAGGTGGACAGACAGAATGAGAATTCCCCAGGTGACTTCTGTCTGCAGGTGTTAGAAGGTTTCTGAAGGGATAGCCAAATTGCTACCTCCAGGACTGTCAACTCAACTCTTCATAGCCTCTGGCCCTCTCTCTGCCTCCCCAGGGCTGGCTCAGGAGGATGTTGAGATGGAGGAAGAGATAAGGGAAGGAAGACTATGGTCCAGTCTCTGGGCAGTGGAACAGGAAGGGGTGGAGGTGGCATGGAGGAACAGAGTGGGTACAGCAGGCAACTGTGTGTGTGTGTGTGTGTGTGTATTAGGGGTGGTGTCTCACTGCCCTTCCAGATGCTCCAAGCCATGGAGCCAAGGTACGAGTAACCAAGCCCAAGTCCTTGGTTCCTCTGACAGCTAGTGGTTGCCATGGGCTCTGGGCTGAACCCAAGGCCGGGGTTGTGGGTGTGAGGGAATCTACCCGTTAAGGACCATGCCTGGGATAGAGTAAGTGCTATGTGTCAGTCATCCTCCTGCCCTCAGCAGAGCTGGGAGGACAGGTCTTACTCAGGCCTATGCTTCCACCTGAGTTGTCCAGAGGCTACCAAGACAACCCTCCACTTGCTCCCCCTACCCCCACATATGATTATCCCAGGTATACCAGCCGAAGGAGACCTGGGGGGGGTGTGAAGGGGAGGGATGCAGGGGAATGGGGACATGGGGGAGGGCAGGGGAAGCTGGGCACATGGGAGGGACTCACCCTGCAGCTCCGTTCTGTTGCTTTTGCCATGCCTTGAGCAGTCGCTGCACCACAATGTGGGAACAGTCCTCCTTGTTCAGGGACCAGAGGTCCTGAGCCTCCAGGGGACGCCGGTAGCCCAGGATAGCCAACCTGAGCAGGGAGGTGGGGTAGTCAGCGGGGCAGAATTTAGCAGCCTGGACCTGGGGCCAGTGTCATCAGGGCCCCAAGGTCTCCAGAAATGGGGCAAGAGGTCTCCTTTGGTTGCAGCACCCAAGGGAGATGTCACGATCATTCTCCCAGTGAGCAGATTGCAGGTTACTGTCTCCCTCAGCCCAAGTCCTACCTCTCCCCTCTTTCCCTTTCCCCAAATCCCCATCTGCCCAAGGCCTTGGCAATGAAATCCATGCTAGCTGAGCATGGGTGTGGATGAGGCAGGGGCGCATTCAGCCCAGCCTCAGGTGCATCCTCAGTGCCATGTGTTTAATGAGTTGTCACCCAGGTCACAGACACAATTATCCTGCTCAAGCCACTCTGAGGGGCTGCTAAGGACTGATGACGAGCTGCAAGCTTATCCCAGACAGAAGAGCTAAGAACTAATTTTACAGTCTCCTCTCAGCCCCCTGGGCCTTTCCCTGCAGCCTGAGAAATGCAGGGCTGGCCTGAAGCCTAGAAGTATTGTTGGGCTTGGCTCCCCCCACCACGGAGCCCAAACAGCCATATTTGCCCACCCTGGCTTGCTCTCTGCCCACATGGGTGTGAGTATGGGGCCAGCCAGACCATCTCCTCAGGTCCCTGGACTGCTCCCCTTCCTCCCTCTCTTTTCCTGTCTCCCCTCCTCTGGCCTAGGCTGCATCAAGATCCAACTCACTTTGTGAACCACCAGAAAAACAGGCGGGAGAGGAAGCCAGCGCTGTCCTCTGGGCAGGGGTTCTAGAAGGTGAGAGAATGGGAAAGGGGAATCAGGAGTGTCCACCAGTCTCTCAAAGCACAGTACAGAAAGGAAGGCCCTTCCTGCTCCCAGCGTAGGTTTACAGGCTGTGGAGGTGGCATTCCCCCTCTGGAAGCTACTAGAAGGATTGGGGCTGCTGGCACCAGCTGGGCTGGGGAGCAAGCTGCGGAGCCTCCACACCCTCGTCACAAACTCACAGGGTCGACATTCTCTGGGGAGAAAAATGGCGGCCTCTCCCTGAAGCAGGACAGGATGAGTGCACTGAGCACCAGGGCGAAGTAGATATAGAAGGTGGTGAAACGGAAAGGGTCTGAGATCTTGCCCTGGGGGGAGGATGAACAGGATGTCAGAAGTGCCCTGCACACCCTGCCCTGAGGAGGCCCTCAGGGTGTCAGGCTCCTCTGGTGTAGGAGGCCGCACCCAGGGGGCCTCTGGGTCCCCACCCAGAGGATTCTGAGAGGTGGGGACGAATCATGGGGTTGGAGGTTGTAGTCTGGTGAGAACTTGCCCTGTGCCAGGCATTGCATCAGCCCTTTACTTATGTTGCCTTGTCTAACCAGGACAACAAGCTACAGCCAAGAGAGCTTCCAATGGGATGCTGCCCAAGATTCCCCAGGGAGTCACAGCCTGTGCTCTTGCTCCTCTCCCCAAAAGGGAGAAATGGGAGGTCCTACACCAGCTCCACCCCCTCCCAGTGTTCCACACCCCCTCACCATCACCAAAGAGCGAGAGAAAGACCAGGAACTGAGAAGGGTAGGAAGAAGGAGAACCAACTAATGGGACTTCCAGGTAAGCCAGAGCTCTTCATGTACGTCCACACACATGAATTCATGACACAGACACCGACTGACACCCACACCAGACATTGTACTTGACTGTGGCAGTGGGGGCTACCAATTTGAGCCGTGTCCCTACGATACACAGTCTCCCCACTCCTGCCTGCCTCCAGGCAGGGGTGCAGCAAGTGAGAGCAACACAAAAAGTGCTGAACAGAAAAGGTCCTTGGAGTGGGGAGAGGCAACAGGGAAGGGCTTGGAACCCAGCGGTGACCTGGAGCCCCTCCCCGCCCCAGCCCTCTTACCTGTGCTATGGCTGAGAGGATCTTGGAGCGGAAAGGGATGATGGCGCAGGCCACACACAGAAACCAGAAGATGATGAGGACCCCTGAGGACTGCACACCCCGCAACCGCTCGTACTGGATCAATAGGGTGGCCAGCAACTGTGCGGGGAGAGCAAGGGAGGCTGGGCAGTACTACACACATCTGGACTTGTCTCTGTTCTTCACTACCCCATGTGGCAAGGTGTTTCCAGAGGTACCCCTATCCTCTTCCAACTCCCAGGTATCCAGCCTCCTCCTCTGAGCCCATAGGGCCCCCCAATACAATTCACACCACATAGAGACCTCCCCACCCAGCCTCCTGGGCCCCACACTGACCATGGTGATCCCCACCACCAGGGGGGTGACAAAGAAGATGGGAGCAGGGGCCCCACCGTGGATCAGGCCATGGAAGGAGTAGAAGAGGTCCGCCCATGAGACACACCACAGCAGGACACCCAGGGCCTAAAAACAGGGCACAGGTTGGATCCCCATCCCCACAGCCACAAACAGTCCCTACTGGGGAAGGGACTTTGCTTCTGAAACCATCAGAAGCCACCAGACCTGGGAGAGGCCCTGAGAGCCAGGAGGGGCATTGGCCAGAAGCTTCTTGGGGGTGAGGGTGGGAAGCTCTGATGTTGCTAAGCTTTCTTGACCTTCCCCAGGCAGAGAAGAGCTCAACTGATTGCAGCCCCAGTTGGTGGGCTGCCGCAGCCAGAGCTACAGAGCAGGTGATTCTGGGAACTTAGTCCAGCTTTGGGGGTTAGAGGGGGTGGTGAGTTAGGGGGCTCATTAAAAGCAGAATCTCCAGGTCCCAGCCCGCCCCACCCATTAGGCAGCCCTGAACCCCTGACCGTCTTGAGCCTGGACAGGACGGAGAGGACAATGTAGCCACAGCGGTGGTGCCTCAGGTAGAACAGATAACAGGGCAGGGCAGCCCACAGGTAGATGCAGGGAACCCAGGCCAGCAGAGAGTTCTGGAAGCAGGGAGTGAGGTCCGGGTTGTTGGTGTACACAGTCAGGTTGGAGTCCTGGGGACAGAGAGAGCAATTCTGTGCTGTGGCTGCCTCCTGGGGAACTGGGTTGGACCAGGGAGCCACTCCATCTGTCTGTGTGGGGGTGGAGGTGAGGATGAGAGCCTCCACATAAATGTAAGTGAGCAGGTGCTACCCTGGTGTGTGCTCCCCGAGTTCCCTGGTGCCTCTTTGTGCCCCCTTTTCTGTCACTCAATTCCTACTCTTTTTTGAAAAAAAAAAATGGTTTTCTCAAAGTCCCGTCTACTGAGTTTCAGAGCCCTTCCTCTCTCAGCCTTTCCCAGGGAAGGAAAGGGGGTTTCCCTTGTCCTTGGAGGCTTCAAAATGGAAATGGTCCATCCTTGCCCTACCCACCTCCCTCCCTGGGTGGGTGTGCGAGCCAGGATCAAGGGGATGTGGAAAGATCTCTTCAAATTACAAAGTCTAGCCTGACTACCCATCACTGGGAAGGCGGGACTGTCCTGATTTTGGCACTGGAAGTCTGAAACTGCTCCGTCAGCCATGTCTCTTGTCTTGTACTATGACTATACCTTAAAATGCTTTTGGAAAAGGCTGGGGTGATAAATCCATTCATAAACATGTTTTACTGAGATTGTTTAAAGTGTGAGAATCAACTAAAGTTGGGTCTTTTCTGTCAAAGGAGTCAATGTAAAACCATCACTGTGCAGACGCCAGCTAGCCTCCCCCAATCGCTGCCTACATGCTTTGTGAAACGCTGCTTGACCTTGCCAGGTTCTCGAGGTCAGACAAAGATGCCCTAATCTCAAAGTGCTTGATGAGCAAAATGTCCAGTGGCCAATTGGGGAGATTGTGAACCCAAACCCCTCCAATCAGGGTGAGGGGCAGAGAGGTAAAAACTGAGCTGACTCCCCGCTCAGTGTGTTCTGTTAATTAGACTCTGGTCTGTGTCTGCATCCTTCCGAAGTAAAACTTTTCCTTCTGCCTTGCTGCGAGACTCCCGTGTTACTTTGATCACAGTTTGGGAACGTTACTTGTAACAAAAGCCACCAATGTACTAATCTTTCCTTCCTTCTCCTCCCCCATAGGGTCTGTCATTCATGCTTGGACTGAGAGCCTCCTGTTCATGCTTCCTCTATAGCTGGGAAGAAAGACACACGCTACCACACCAGTTTTTATTGGTTGAGATGGGGTCTTGCTAACTTTTTGCCAGGGCTGGCCTCCTAATCTCTGCCTGCCAAATAGCTAGGATTTCAGTAAACCGCAGTGCTCTGCTTCCCTGCCCCACTTCTTGCAAAGCGTTAGATGTTCTCTATAGAAAGCTCAGAAAATATAAAATAACAAGAAAAACTGCTCACAATCCCATCCACCTGGAGACAACTGTTGCCTGAGGATATAACCACCTCCCTTCTAACTGCCAATTGAAATGATTATCATTTAATTTCTGTTTTTCAAGTTGGAGGTTTTTCCCAAATGTGGGGTGATTTTGGAGGCTTGGCTATCTCAGTATTTTCCAATGAGACACCCAATAGCTGATGGATACCTTGTGTGTTTGGGAGCAGCAGGGCTCAATAGCAGTTGGGCTTTGCTGTACAGGAATCAAGTAGGAACCTGATCATTTAGAGAAGACCCTCTCTCCCCACCAAACTGGCAGATTCTGGAGGCCTTTCCTCTGGGATGAGGATGAGGCTGGGGGCGTGCAGACTTTTACTGAGGCCTTAGAATAGACTGCAGGCTTCTGGGGGAGGGGTGGTTGGGGTTAGCCTGTCCTTCAGAGAGGGTAGGGAAGTAAGCTGAGTATCTAGCCTCTCCTTACACATTTTTCCCACTGTCAGCCCCTCCTCCTTGGAGCTTTTCTAGTCTCCCACCTCTATGTTGGTGGTCAGCCCTCCCACCTGTTTTCCACCTCTTAAGAAGGTGCTGTTAAATTCACACCTGTAATCCTAGCTACTTGAGAGGCTGAGATCGGGAGGATCTTGGTCTGAGGCCAGCTTGAGCAAATAGTTCACGAGACCCCTCCATCTCCAAAAGAACCAGAGAAAAAAATGGTCTGGAGGTGTGGATGAAGTGGTACAGCACCTGCTTTGCAAGTACATAGCCTTTACTTCAAACCCCAGTTACACTTGAAAAGAAAAAGAAGCGTTGGTGTCTGGTCTGCTGTTGTGACCTCTCCTTTGTCCTTGTAGGATCTTAACTCTTACTCCTCACTGTCATTTCAGTGGAAGATCAGGAAGTCCTGGGGCTAACACTCAGGCCACCCTCTAGAACCAAAAGTCCTTCTAACAGCAAATTAAATAGCTCCTTTCTGCTCTCATGCAGGGCCTCCCTGCATATTGTGGGCTTGCCCCCACCTTCGAAAATGTCTCTTTCCTGTCTGCCCTGCTCCTAGGCAAGCATTCCTTGCCCTCCCTCTCTCCCTCTCTTCCTCCTCCTGGACCCTGTGCCCACCAGCCCTAGCCTCCAGGCTCTGACCTTCATCTTTGTGTTCTCTGTCATCATTGTTCACAGCTGCACTGAGAACTCTACATCCACATCAATAGCTCCAGGCCCCTCCCAACCTCCCAGCCACTTCCCGCTGTCTCTGTGATGGCTTCCTCATCTTTCCTCAGCCACCTCATGTTCAACACCTCTTACACCAAGTTTGTTCACTCCCTGTTGGAACCTCTGCTGGCCTTGCTTGCCTCTGCCAAGACTGCCCCGTGCTCCCAACCAAGGTCCTATGGACTTCGGTGGAAAAACAGCAGCTGGACAGGCTGGTGTCTGTGTCCTGGCTTCACCTCTTTTAAGCTGTGTGCCTTTGGGTAAGTTGCTTCACCTCTCAGGTCTCTGGCCTTGGTTTCTATAGGGGTAACATTTGGATGGTAATATCTCCGTCTTCCTCCCTGGTCATGCCTTCTCAGACTCTGCTGGTTCTGCCTCTTGATGTAAAAGTGGCCCAGGACTCAGTCCTTTCCTCTTTACCTCATCTCTATCTGTACTCACTCTTGGTAATCTCTCCCTGTCTCATCTATGTGCCACTGACTTCCAAGTTTCTCTCTCCAGTCCACTGCTCTTCAAATCACCAGGGCTTTATCCAACGTGGATTAGAAATCTCCATTCCAATCAAATGGTAGCACTCATCGTGCCTGGCAAGTGTGAGGCCCTGAGTTCCAACCCTTCAGTATACCAAAAAGAAAATCTCCATTCAATGCACCCTATAACAACCTACAAAGATCTGCAGTGTCCCTTCCCCTTGACCCATGACTTCTCTGCTTCTGCTGCCTCCCTCTAGCCACCCAACCTTCTTGCAATTCCTGAGCACACGCTAAGTTTTGATTGTTTTTTTTTTGGTAGCACTAGGGTTTGAGCTCAGGACCTCATTCTACCAGCCTGAGCACACACTAGGTACATTTTGCCTCAGGATCTTTGCACATGTTCTTCTCACTTCCTGGAATGCTCTGCACACATGCCTAAGTCTTTCTTTCTCAATGAGACCTACCCTGCCATTGTACCCTGCCCCCAGCAATCCCACCCCCCCACCTTCTTCTCTGCTTTTTTTTTCTTTTTAGCACCTACCACCTAATTCACTTTTTTATTATGCTTTCCTCATCTCTTCCTATCGACGTGTACTATCCTTGAAGGAAAGAATTTATTTCAGCTGGGCACTGGTGGCTCAGGCCTGTAATCCTAGCCACTCAGGAGACAGAGATCAGGAGAATTGCGGTTCGAAGCCAGCCTGGGCAAATAGTTCTTGAGACCCTATCTCGAAAAAACCATCACAAAAAAGGGCTGGTGGCGTGGCTTGAGGTGTAGGCCCTGTGTTCAAGCCCCAGTACCAAAAAAAAAAAAAAAAAAAAAAAGGAAGAAAGAAAAAACCTTTATTTCACTTACTGACATATCTTAATTCCTTAGAATGGTGCCTAGCACATAGTAGGTACTCAGAAAAAGTTGCTTAAATAAGTAAAATACTTATTGAAAAAATGAATAAATTGTAAAGATGATATTATACTCTCCCTCTAAGCCTTCAGTGGCTCCCTGCTGCCTAGAAGACAAAGTATGAGCATCTTACTATGGCATGCAGAGCCTCCAGAGGGCCTTGAATGATCTAGCTATGTGAACTACTGAACTTGGATTCTCCACCTGCTGGAAAGCTCTCCTGGGAGGGAAGTGGCCAACATACCCGCTTCCCTCTCCTCAGCTTGCCTCCTCTCCAGGTTATTCTCCACCTTGTAATGCCCAGGCACTACTGCAGAATAGTTCTTTGTGCAACTCAAGTTGGTGGCCCTTGCGGCACACCCACAAAGCTGCAGTCGCTGCTCTGCCCTGGCCCTCCAGACCCCCCTCAGGTGTCTCCTTCCACCTTCTGTCCCCCCTCCCTTCCCTGCAGCCAACATCCTATACCCTAAGCTGGTTCCGAGGTGAGATTCCCACCCAGACACTTTTGGTCAGCCTGGTCCCTCTTTCTGTGACTTGTTAAAATCCTATGGTCTCCAGAGAGTGGATAGTAGGCCTGGCTCGGGATCTCCCTCCTTTGCCCCGAGCACCCTTCCTCCTCTAGACTCAGCATCTGCTGGGAGCTCCACTTCCCTGAGCATCACTGCTCCCCTGGCAGAGGGCCAGGTGTGCAGACACAGTGACCTGTCGGTGGAGTGTGCTAGGAATTGACCTAGTACCTTGCACCTGCTAGGCAAATAGTCTACTACTGAGCTAACCCTCAGCCGTTGGTTTTTTGAGACAGGTCTTGCTATGTAGTGCTAGGACGACAGGCGTGCATCCAAGCATGCTCTATGTCTATGCTCCCATGGCGTGAGCACATTAGGCTCAGTCAGAGACCCCAGGAGGGAGAGGAGGCAGCCATAGCTAATCTGGCCCAGGCCAACTTTTTTTTCATTTTAATAAAAACACTTTTTTATGCAATTATGACATATTTACAGAAAAGCACACATATCCAAATTCACCGCCATGAATTTTTGACACACAGCAAGATCAACTGTGTAGCCAGCATCCAAATCAAGAGCCAGAAGCAGAGAGTCAGAGGTTTAGGCCTATAATCCTAGCTA